AATAAGTGGAAGATGGGTACGTATGTTCTTTTGATTAAACCAAAATTGACAAATCAAGAAGAAATTACAACACGTTTGATCATAAAAAATGAATAGTTGTTTTGTAACAACATAATGCAATACATAATGTAAACAGTATTTATCTGGGGTGAAATTAATGATGTCCAAGCCCGTTGACAAATGAGAGACATGCGTGACATCTTTGCATTTCCCATCTAATCGAAACATTCCTCCCGCATCGATAAAATTCAGAGAGATAAGATAGTGAGGAAATTTCCAAAGATGCACCCAGAGGTGAAAATAATCGATAAACAAATAAATGCATAAAATAAAAATAATTCTAAAATTGTCTATTTATTTTACTCCCCCTCCTATATGAAATATCATAATTAATAATCGTACTGTCATGTGAGGCTACTTCGTGCAGGATTTCGCAGTTTTTGAACTTTGACAAGTAAAAAAACTATGTTAATTCAAAATTTAACGATAATATAATCATAACTGGACTCAGACGAGTAAATTTGATCAATATTTGCATTATTTGTTTGTAATATTTACAAATAATAAGTCAAAACATACCTTGCACAAAGTAACCCCCAAGTGGGGCTACTTTGTGCAGCGATAGGAATTCAGTTTAATAATCATGCTTTAAGTAAAATATTGATATAAACTTGTTGAAAAAGTTAATTGTTGACATTTTTAATAACAAAAACATCGCGATATGTAAAGATATTAGTGTGAAAATAATTTTTAGCTCTAAAAAACCATTTTTTATAAAGAATTTTTTCTTAAAAAGAATGTTTATTTCAAAACATTTGAGTTTAAACAAAAGGAAACCATATACATTTTTGAACATTGAAATAGATGAAATTTCAAAAATAATAATTATTAAATATTCATTAACATTTATAATATTGATAAATTTGAGCATAACACGCTTGAATGAACATGACAGAACTTGCTCTTCAGTTTCTGCAAAATCACCTGATGTCCTATAAAATATATTTTTATGTGTTAAATCGTTTGATTAATTCGTTAGAAAAATTTTTGTAGAAGAAAAATAATAGTTTACCAGCACGTTTCACGCGTTTCTTGTGAATTTTATTAGAGATAGTATTTCTGTGGATTTTGTATTTCCGAGAAGCTTCTGCAATCAACATGCCACCAGCAACTGTTTGCAAACATTGCTGCAGCTTTTCTAAAGTGTAATCACGGTAGTGTAGCCAGGTATTTTTTTTTATAACGTCTGACCATTTTTCTGTCGAAAAAGAAAAACGAATGAAAATTTGCACAAAGTAGCCCCACAGTGCACTTTTTTTCATTTTCCGTTTATTTGTTATTAATTTTCAAAATTTTTTAACGTTAACATGATATAATTGTTCCTTAATATATAAATAAAAAATTTTGCACTTACGATAATTGTTTTATCAACGTCTTTGCATTTCACAGTTAAAGTTTCCACGCACACTTTTCGACGTCCGACGTTCTCGGAAAGTTGTTGACATTGGATAAACAAAACACACTCTGAGATTGTTTTAAAATTCGAAAAAATGTTTGTAGTAATAGAGGAGACTTCTATCTTCAAATTCCACACATTTTTAACGTGAAAAAAACATAATACTGAATAGCAGCACTTGAAAAGTGCCAAATTCGAATTTGCACAAAGTAGCGCCACATGTATGACGCTACTTTGCATACTACGCATGTATGATGTAGCGTATCCTTTATTACTCCTTTACGTGAGGGCAAACATTTGCTTAGCACAGAATGGGCAACATTTTTTATTTAATATATAGGATTTGTAATAATTTTCTCCGAGGTCTGAAAGCTTATGACAAATAAAATATTACCTATACATCGGCGAAAATTTTACTTTACTGATTAAGAAACGATTTTACGTTTTTTTTTCAATTTCAAATGACAAAATTTCAATTTGTGAACCTTTGGAGATGTGGCAGAATCCAAGTCTAAAATCAAATTTTTACCACATGTTCTGCAACACGTCACGATCAATTGTAACAAATGCTCTCGTGATCCCTCCTTCATCGTACTTCTGTTAAATCACGTGGTATGGGATCACGAGAACATAACCTCTGTCGTAGCCCCATAAAAAAATTGTAGGGAGGTAAGTTTGGAGAGTACGGAGTTAAGTCTGGGGAGTCCGACCAGCGGCCAATCCAAAGACGACGAAGGACGTTCGTAATTTAGGAAATAACAAACGTCTGTCTGATAATGAGAAGAGGGTATAGTGCGACCTTCAGGAGAACTCCTGCAGACATCAGTCTCGCGTCGTGGCGGGTACCATGGTTACGAGGGAAAATCACATTGAATAGGGGTGTGGGGGTGAAAATAGTTTGGTCTAAATCTTAGCGTAGGTCGTCGTGAGTAAACCAATCGACCCCTTCTTTCCTCTATTTAACCCCTATTAAAAATGTGCTCTCGCTTGTTACCATAGCAGCAGACAGCCCCAGACTTTCAGTCTGGAGGAGTTCCCATCAAAGCCGCACTACCCATTTGTTGATAAATAAACGCCGCATAATCTTCCTGTAATGGTGGCGTTAACCACAGGTGCAGCATATCAAAGAAGGAACACAACCTCATTTGCGAATGCCAAGTGGCAAGAATTTCAATTTAGATTTAAAGCCAGCTGTATCCAAAGAAGGTTCACATATTGAACATCTGTGAGGAAAAAAAACTTGTAAGTAAAAATCAAATTAAGCAGAATTTTTTGATGTGAGAGTAATATTTTGTTTATTGTAAGCCTTCCAAACTCAAGGAGAAATTGTGACACGCCCAATATATAATCAGCTGCACTGTTAATAGGTATATCCATAATTGTTAATTTTTAATAATTTTTTGTGTTGTTAAAAAATTTATATATTGTTATATATTTTGTATAAATTTTTTATTAAAATTTATATGTCGTTAAAAATCTGAATTCCTGTAAAATATTTTTGATTTGGTAAGTCTAATTAAGTTACGGAAATTGATTGAGAAAATTTCTAATGCTCACATGCAAAAGCATTTTAGAATATTTGAAGTGGGGGGGGGGAATGTTTGTACATATTTTTTTGATATATTTCTGAATATTTTTCCAAATTGCAATGTTTGTTGCATCCACTGAGAAACTTTCTGCTGCCCTCCTTGATTTGCTGAATGTGGAAAAGTCGTTTTTAATTGGGGAAAGTAAACAGAAATATTACTTAAACGTTCTTCTGGTAAGGATCCCAAATAGATGGCATAAAGAAAAAAAACTTCATGTCGATTTATAATTCAGTAAAGTCCGTATTGTCTAGTAAAATTAGACACTTTCTTCGAAAAAATTAATACCTAAATTTTTTCATAGAAGACTTCGCTCTGAAATTAAAAATGAGTCTTGAAATCTCCCCCATTCTCCTCTACTCGTTTCTCCCTCTTCAGAGAGAAATAGAGAAGGTAATTTGAGGAGATTTTAATTCTTTCTAGACAGGCAAGTTAGATAACGTTTCCTACTAGTGTTGCGTAAGACGTAACTTCCGTATTCTAAATTTTAAATGTTATAAATTATAAATAAATTGCGCTTTTTAAATAAAAAAAGTGTTTATTCCTAAAACCCCACGCTATGGAACAACGCATTTTCTATGTATTTCTTTTTTTCCTCGATTAACTAAAAATGAGTCAAAAAGGCTCATATTTTTAAAGTTGCAAAAGGTTTCTTTTCCATAAAAAGTAGCAATTTTAAGACTTTAAAATTATTTTTGCTGTTGACTCGAATTTTTAAAGCATTTTAGAAAATGAACATTATTTCTCCATAGGGAAGTGAAAAATGTCCCTAGGTAGCGAAGAAAAAAGTGTACATAAGTACTCTTTATACTTCGAAGTAGCGATCGCGAGAAAGGACTTTTTATTAATGAAAATACTTTTAATATTTTAATTATTCATTTTAACTCGAGAATCTTATTCGCTTAAACGCGAAAATTCCATGGTAAAAAAATGCCTAAACTTGTTTAGTTAACTACACTAGAGGCGTAAATGGACAAAATTGTACTTTTTATACATAAAACCTTTATAACTTCAGTTCTATTCGTCCAATCAACTCGATGTTGATCCTGTGGTGTAACTACCACTACAATAAAACAATTCCAATTCACTAGTATATAAGACGCATTAACTTGATTCTATCTTGGGACACTTTTTGATAGATGAAGGTTGACATCGTCGGTATTCCAACCCCCACATTAGTGACCTGCGGACTTGATCAGAATACGCCTATCTTGACATAACGCTCACTTCGATTTGAGCACGCCTACTTCGATGCATGGTACATATTGAACAGTTGACTTGCTATTTGTCCCTGCGACATTGTCCTCTTCGCACTGTTGTTACTCAGTCTCAATCACACACCACTGAAGCTTGTACACACTCGACTGCTAATAACAACACAGGAGCGACCACGTACACAACCGTAAACTTAATAAAGCTCTCAAAGTCAGGTGATCTTAATACTGCTCTCCCGGTCCATCGCCAAACGGCAATGAATCAACTAATGATATCAATTCATCGAATTCTATCCCATATGAAATTCTAGCGGTTAACGCAATTCTATCTTCATATACCTTTTGTTAGATTGGTGGAAATCTTTATCAGCGAAAAACTTACGAATCAGGTTCCTGTTTGCATGCGATTTCTTTTTCATACAAAAAAACAAAAAAAAAAACACATCCAGTGTGAGTTGCCCTTTTTGCAAGGAAATAAGTAATCAAGCAACAGACATTAAAGTCCTTTTGAAGCATTCCAAACAAGCATAGAAAGAAAGGTGCATTGCAAGATTTGAATTTGTATTTATTCGCATTTTCTACAGAAAAAATCTGCATAGATTTCACTTCCTTTTGATTCAGACTGGCACTGCTTCAACAGCTAATAAATTGCATTAGGGTTTTTCATTGGCCAACTCAGTTGCGATGCCACTAGATCGCCTACTTTTAACCTGAAATTTAGTGTGTTTCAAAATTTGATGGCAATGGTATGATAAAACAACAAAAACAAATCCTGAGGTTCCTTATTGCGTATTGAAAATGTCAAAAAATCTATTGTTTCGTCGATATATCAGTTTTGATTTATTTCGTTGAGTTAAAAACCATTTGTCGTGATAGGTGCAGGTTGTTAAAATCTGCTCTTGTATAAGTATGCAATGCTTTTTAAATCATAACCGTTTTTTTAATATTTTTCACAACTGTCAAAACGTTCTGTAGAAATCGTACGTTCTTTAAATAAAAATTTCCCTCTGGAAATTTTTAAATAATAATAATTTTATTAAACTTTGTTATCGACTTTTAATATTTCCCCACAGATATTTTAAAGTTGTCCTTCTCATTATATTTTTAGAATGTTTACTTTTATTTCATTACGGATTCATAGCTTGCTCGTATGAGTTAGATTCTTTGAACACTTAGTTCTTAAATTTTTATGATTATTGTTTTATTACATCTTTTTCAGTCCCTAGATGTGCATGTAATGTATACTTTGATATTAAACTTACGCGGTTGCTAATAAAGGTATTCTCAAATTCGTTTCCTCTTCGTATGGTTGAAGTTTTAGTGATATTAGTATCACTATAAAAATAATAAATCAATTCTTCTGTTTCCGTACGAAAATTTCTTGTGTGAAATTCTTTATTTATTACTTAAAGTTATTTCTATTCCTATAATAAGGCTTTCAATATATTTACAATTTCGTCTCAAAAATTATATTTATTTTTTAACTATTAATTTATGATTATCGTTTAATTACTTCCTTTATTTCAGTCCCTAGATGTTGTGCATGTAATGTATACTTTGATATTCAACTTACATGGTTATTAATAAAATTGGTATTCTCTAATATTTTTCTTTGACATGGTTTTTCTTCCAGATGTTTTTCTTTGATATGGTTGAAGTTTTATTGATTTTACATTAATATCAATATCATTGTAAAATATTAATGCATTTTTTATTTTTCCATATAAAATTCCATATTTATTTTAATTTCTTTAAATTAATTCTATTGTTAGAATAAGCTTAATAATGTTATATTATATTAATATATTTAGCATTCCATTTCAAAGAATGTATTTATTTTTAAATCACAAAATTATTTTTAAAATGATGAGCAGCAATTACTTGTATAATAACTTAGTATTTAATTAGTCCACTTTTGTTACAGAATTAAAAGTCATTTTCAGTAGTTGATATGGAATCCCCAGAGCAGATAGCCACTCAGCCTTCGCCTTCATCTCTCGAGGAAGCTCAAAATAAAAGAGTTCAAAGAGAAAAACTTATTTCTTCTTTAAAAAGTGCATTATTTATCCTGAGTTCAGCAATTGTAATTTTTGTTGCTTTTAGTAATACATTAACTTGGTAAGTCTCAAACAATTAGTTTTACCGCTTCAATAATCCTGCTTGCCAAATTATAATTGTCTTTTTATTTTATCCTAATTTTCTTCTATTCAATTGAAACTTAAAAGCCTATTTATTCTTCTCGGGCACTAAGTTTTAATATGTGATAACTTAATACACAGTGAAACTTCCAGGAAAGACCATCTCTATGTACCTCTATTACGACCACTTTTTGGAGGGATGGAATTTTTTTTCATTAATTTTCTGTTGGAGAACCTCTACCAGCCGCTGGGTTAACCTCTGCATCAAATGCAGAAAAGTTTAAATAAGGGAACAAGAAAAAATATCAAAACAAAATATATTAACAAAACAAATAAGTAGATTAAAACAAATTCAAAATATTTGTGTGAAGCTTTTATTTAGAGGGCTGATGGTCTCTGAAACATATCTACAACCTTATGTCACAGTGCTCTAAAAACGATGCTATCAATGATTTATTTTTAGAGTTTAAAGTTAAATTAGACAACACAAAAAATAGTTATTTTAGAAGAAAAAAGTTATTTTTAAACTAAGCATTGCAAACAAACCTAACTCTTCTCATCTCTTAAAGTGAATTAATTTTTATGTCTTAAAACTAAATGCGAACACTGAACAAAAAACTTAATTGTTCTTTTAATTAAACATCATTAAAATAGTTCTATCATTCACAATTGGTAAATTTGTTTTTACACATAATTATATCAGTAGGAATCTTTTTATTGACGTTAAATTTTTTCATCAATCTGGTTTTCATGTGGCATTTCTGCATCAAGGTAGTGACGCTGACTGAAATTAAAATCGTTTGTGAAAAATCATGTACCTTCAATAATATGTTGAAGTCAATTGGGGGAAACCCCTAACAACAGCCAGGGTTGGCAGGTTTTTGACATGTGACAGTTTTTGACGGTTTAAACCGTCACGTCAAAAACCTCACTGTCGAAAATGTTAAAAACCTACATTTATATGTGAAATTTAATTAATACGTAAAATGTATATATTTTTTATAAAGGATAGTGTTTCTAAATATGTTCTANTATTTTAGAGTGGAACAGAGAGTGGTCTCTCCCGAGAGATTTCATTGTTATGTGTAATGTTATAAATAATTTATTATGTTGAATAATATATTAAATATACATTTTTTTCAAATTCATTATTTTACTTTAGTTTCTTTCAACCTATGTCATTATTATCCATTTAAAAAAAAAAATTTATATGATTTTAAATGTCTTTCGTATAGTTTTGTAGAATTAAACCTGTTTGATAAGAGGAAAATTACTTGCTTAGTATAATATGTATTGTAATACACTTTATATTAGTTTTTAAAATGTTACACATTTTAACAAAAAATTTCAATTTTGTGAAAGTTTTATACTGATAAATATTTTTTTTGTATCTAAAATTTTAATATATTGCAGTCAATATAGCCCTGTAAAGGGTTTGATTTTTTCTCACAAATGCCATACCTCAAAAGTATTTCTGTACTCTTCCTGCCTTTTCCACATATTTTATTTATTTATTTTTTTAGCTTGTAGTTTTTAAAATTAAATCTGTGTGATTTTACTATTTTTATTGCTTAATATTTTAAGTCTGGTATAAAACAGTCGTGTTTTGTTCTTGTTCAATTAGACACTATAATTAATCAAATCCGTTTCATCATTTATACACCGTAGTAAATTAATAGACAAGTCATAATAATATGCATCAATATTTTTTTTGTATTTATATATACTTGATTTTCTTTCTAATTGTTTTAATATTTTATTATTTTTCTCATATTGTACATTAAGTTTTAAATATTTTCTTTAAGCTGTTTGGCAATTTTTATTTCTATATATTTTATTATTACTTACACATAAGACAGAAAGGAAACTACTTTTTTGTTCAATTTTTGATCTGTACAATTAATTTTCTGTTATGTTGTGTTATCCAATTAATTTTGGATTATTAAAACAGATCAGATGAAAGAAACATTTTTCTTTAATATGTAAATCTTTCAGTTCATGTACTTAATGTAAGTTTAATCTTATGCTTTTGCTATAATCTGTAAATGAATAGAATCAAAGAGGTACTTTTTAATTCTTATTAAGGCATACATATTATGTTATAAAAATAACATCTCGTATTTTAGTTATTACTTTTATTTATCAAATATGCATATAATTGTTTATTACATACTCGAAAAGTTAATTCAAAATTCTAATGCAATGTTAGTTCCTANAACTATTTTAGAGTGGAACAGAGAGTGGTCTCTCCCGAGAGATTTCATTGTTATGTGTAATGTTATAAATAATTTATTATGTTGAATAATATATTAAATATACAGGTTTTCCCATTTTTCAAATTCATTTATTTTACTTTGATCTCTTTCAACCTATGTCATTATTGCCCGTTTAAAGAAAAAAAAAATGTAAATGAATTTAAATGCCTTTCTCATAGTTTCGTAGAATTAAACATGTTTGATAAGACTGGCTTCCTTCCTTTTTTAAAATATCAGGCATTTTAACAAAAAATTTCAATTCTGTGAAAGTTTTATACTAATAAATATTTTTCTTTGTATCCAAAATTTTAATATATTGCAGTCAATAAAGGGTTTGATTTTTTCCCACGAATGTCATGCCTTTAAAGTCCTATTATCTTCCTGCCTTTTCCACATATTTTATTTATTTTTTTGGCTTGTAGTTTTTAAAATTAAATCTGTGTTTATTTACTGATTACTATCTGTGTTATTAATCTACTTTTATTACTTAATATTTTAAGTCTGGTATGAAATAGTCATGTTTTGTTCTTGTTCAATTAAGAACTATAATCAATCAAATCCGTTCCATCATTTATACACTGTAGTAAACTGTTAGACAAGTCATAATAATATGCATCAATATGATTTTTTTTTTGTATTTATATATACTTGATTTTTCTTTCTAATTGTTTTAGTATTTTATTATCTTTCTCATATTGTAACTTAAGTTTTAAATATTTTCTTAAAGTTGTTTGGCAATTTATATTTCTATATATTTTATTATTACTTACACATTAGACAGAAAGGAAACTATTTTTGTTCAATTTTTGATCTGTGCAGTTAATTTTCTGTTGTGTTATCCAATTAATTTTGGATTATCAGCATAGATCAGATGAAAGAAAAAATTTTCTTTAATATATATATATATATATATATCTTTCAGTTCATGTACTTAATGTAAGTTTAATCCTATGCTATTGCTATAATCTGTAAATGAATAGAATCAAAGTGGTACTTTTTAATTCTTATTAAGGCATATATGTTATGTTATAAAAATAACATCTCATATTTTAGTCATTACTTTTATTTTTCAAATATGTGTATAATTGTTTATTACATACTCAAAAAGGTAATTCAAAATTATAATGCAATGTTAGTTCCTATCATTTTAACTTCAATGATAACTTTGCACTTAGTTGTACTAAGTTAGCTATGCAAAATAAAGGCCACATTATTTAAAGGATATATGTATGTATATGCTGAGTGAAGTTTTTCAAAATTATCTCTACAAATAAAATATCCTTATATTTTTATTTTCTTTAAATCATACATATTATTGTATCATACTTTAAGGCATTTGCAGCATTTCTGGGGTGCATCAGGTGATTTTTGGCAAAGCCAATGGAATAAGATATGGAGATTTTTTGGTTCAGATCGATACACTATAGGAGTATGGGGTAAGTTTAGAATTGTTTTTTTAGAATTAAAATAGTTATCAGTTTATCAAATTTGGGTAAAGATAGCATTATCTAAGAAACATCAATAGTAATTTCTAACCTATTTATCTAGTATTTCACAAGTGTTTTTCTACTAACTGATTGCTCAGCTAAATTGTGTAATTTATTTTAATTTAATCTTGTTTTGTTTCGTTTCGTTTTCTTTCTTTTTTCACAGTGTTGTATTTGTGTACCGGTGATTAAATAACTTGATAAAAGTTACTTAATGTATGTCATCTTCAAAAATTTAAAACCTCATAAATTTACCAAACATTTAAAAAAAAGCAAATGAAAGACAGCACTGTAGTGCAGGAATATTGAATTAAATTGTTATAGGAAATTAAATCACTTAAAATCTATATTATAGTCAGTTTTCTGTTAATAAAGTCTTAAGTTTCTAATTACAATTGCAATAATATTATATTTAAGTGTGTGTAATAGTGTATCTAATAGTATGTAATAGTGCGTGTAATAGTGTATGTACTCATTCTCATTCAATCTAAAAAATAAGCTGCTTTAAGCTATAGTTTGCATCAACCTCAAAATTTGTGTTTTAATTGTTTTCTACAATGCTGCTAATAAATAGTCTATATCTGAATAGTCACTTTCTTTTGAGCATCCCTTAAATATATTCTTAAGTTACTTATTACCTTTGCCAATAAAAATGAAGATTTTAGATGTTTATCAACCTCTTTGTTTTTATTTTACTATTTTCTTTTATAAAATGCATCCACTCCTCCATCCATTTATGTTGTTTTTTATTGTTTGTTTTGATTTAAATTAAAATACAAAAATTTTTGATTCACTCACATTCTTTATTGCAGTGTTGTTAAACAGTGGACGAAGCTGTTTGTATTATTAAAAAAAAAAAATTTAATTTCGTTGTTTATTATTTGGTTTGCTCTTAGTTGCAAGTTAATTTTAAAAGAAGAACGTCATCCCTTTTTATATCTATAGAAAGTTTTGTTACTTAATATTCTCTCCAATTTCAACATAAATGAATACATTTAAAACATATACAAGGTGTCCCGAAACGACCGCATAAACTCTGCACAGCTAGATTCCTCGTTGGGAGTACATAAAAACTGCCAAAAGAAGCGTTCCTGTACGATCCATAGTTTACGAAAAAAATACGAAAAACAAAGTATGACGTCACTGCCGGTACAAGAAGAAAACACTTTATTGAACATATCAACAGCAGTATATTTATGCACAATTTAAAGCAGATGTTCAAAGTGTCCGCCGTGCTTGTTGAGGCAGGCTTGAGCACGTCGTGGATATGTCCAATAAAGTGTTTTTTTCTTGTACCGGCAGTGACGTCATACTTTGTTTTTCGTATTTTTCTCGTAAACTATGGATCGTACAGGAACGCTTCTTTGGGCAGAGTTTATGCGGGCGTTTCGGGACACCCTGTATAGCTGTTAATGCTATTATTTCCCTACATGTGCTTCTCTTCATTTGCAAAAAGAATAGGTAATTTTCCCACTTCACACTGAAATTTGCTGGTGTAAGCATATCTGATAGAATAGATTTATGGTTATACCTTTTATAAGAATTCCAATAAAGCTAAAAGAATACAAGTGCAATGGATATGCAAGCTATATTTAATTCCTTACGTATGGTACTCCACTGTACTTAGTAGGTATATTTTTTTAATCTGAGATAAAATTCTGCTCATCAAAATATGAAATTTCACAGTAGATTCCTTAAAAAAAATTTTTTTAATTATATGCGTTAATACTTAATTATTTAATGGTGATATTTCAGCTTCTCAAGCTGGTAACATACCTAAAAGGTTTTTTTCTAAACTTTGTTCTTTACTTTTTATTACTCATGTTTGCTTCTTTACTGGTTCAATTAAAGCTTGTAGTTTAATGGACTTAATATCTAAAGTAATTAAATTTTTCTCAGATATTTAATTTTCTTTAACTTACATCAATCTTTTTTCAGATTATCTTCTTCATTCAAATAGTATGGTTGTATTTGACTGTCAAAAATATGCATGAAGTGTTGAATATTAAACATTTTGACAATTATCAAATTTAGTAGTAGAAAACTTGGATACTTATCTGTGTATCAAATATTGTTGCATCAAATTGGTCACAAAGAAAGATAGCTGCCAAACTTAGCTAATTAGTTTGAATTTGTAACTAACTAACTTTAATGAGTTCTTTTAAAAATTGAATTTATTTTTCGAAAAACTTAATTTAAACAGGAGGCTCAACTAGACAGTTTGGCATCCAGTTAATGAATATAGTTTTATTCTTTTTCATATGCAAATAAATTTTATTGCTAGGTATTTTATTCTTGCAGGTACTTTCTTGGTCACATTTGTAGTGTATTGGGTTATTGGTTTATTGTATACATTTACTGACTTAACAGGCAAACCTGCATTTGCTCTTCGTTACAAAATTCAAGATGTAGCTTCGTATCCTGTAAGTAATAATGCACTTTGCTTTTGGTTTTAACTTTGTTCATTTCTTTTAGCATTGCATATGCACAATGCAAAATTATGAAATATCGCTTAACTTAAAAAAGTAAAGTTTATAACATTTCATTTTATTAAAAAAGCACCATTTAATTTAATTATTACTTGCGATAATTAATATTGCGATTAATATTAGATTAGAAACCTTAAACGAGCTAGATTTTGGTGTTGAGCGTGTAAGTAAGCATAAATAACATTTTAACATAAATATTTCCCAAAAATTATGCTAAATAATTGAGTGCCAAAGAAATTTCCCCATCAATTTAGTTTTTGTTGTTGTTGTATACACTAATTACATTTCTTAATAGAATTAAAGCTGATTCAAAATTTATGATGCAACTAGTTATTTTACTATTCTTTTAAGTTCTGGATTTTTGTGTCAATTGCAATTTTTAAGAAACATTCCTTGTTATTCATTTCACATTCTATGTCAGTTTTAAACTATTTATATGTATAGTTAACTATTGATATCCTTTTAAATTTGGAGGTTATTCTCAAATGTTATACTGCATTTCTAATTTCAATTGAAGAAAATATACATATTTATCTGTTTTATTTAGAATATAAATGCATTTTTAAATATTTTTAACTGAAAATTGTTGTTTCTGATATGTATTGAATGTAATCTCTGCTAGATGTCAAGACTTTAATAATTTTTTTTCCTTGTGTAATAAGTTTTTATTTCTTTTATTTTTCTTTTATTTAAAAAAAATTTAAAACAGAATTTTATTTTTTATATTTTTCTGATAAAATTGTAATAAGTGGATACATTTAAAAAATATGTTTATTTACGCTATAAATTTTTAGGTATCTTTACCTCAAGTCTTGAGTGTTGTTAAACAAGTTTTGATTAATCAGTTTGTGATTGGTTTACCATTTGGAATATTAGCTTATTACTTAATGGTCTGGAGAGGATATAACTCTGGAAAGACTCTTCCAACATTCCAATGGGTAATATTTGAGCTTATATTTTGTGTGATCATGGAAGAAGTAGGCTTCTATTATTCTCACAGGTTAGTATTACTTAAATGTGTTACAATACAATACATAAAAATAGCTTATGTATATTGTGTAAATTAAAATGTAAGTCTTCTAAAGCAGCACTGTGACTGAAAAAAAAATCTGACATCTTGATGGTTAACCAGAAATCGAAGTTACTTACTGTTAGTTTTACTTACTTTTGAAAAATTAAAAAACTATTAAAAAAATAAAAACTCAAAAAAATGTATGCTGGTGATGAGACTTATTCCTGTGGTTTAAATTAGCTCTAAATCAAGTCCTTGAAATTGTTCAAATGTTTCACTAACTTTGAGGCAACCATTGATGTTTTTAGGAATAGATCCTCAACAGTAATAGTGAGGCAGTCTAGGATGTAGTCCGAAGATGTTGGCATGTTGCAACTTGAGCATGGTCGAAAAATTTTCCTTCCTTTTTCAAATCTCATGCCATTAATGAGTGACCAGTTTTATGTCTACAAAGCATTGTTAAGATCCTTCAAGGAACTTCAAAAGTTATCCAGCAGATTTCCTAATAAACCAGTGATGAGCAGGGTCTTCCATAGGTCTAGTTTCTTCCTTAAAATGGAAAAATCCTTTTCAGAAAGAGGCATCATAATTTCTTAAATTCCAGGTAGGTCTTTGGCTCTGGATTTTGACAAGGTGCCATCCCTTTTATAAGTAAGGAGATCAGCTACAGAGCTAGATCTGATTCCTTATGAAAATTGATATGATGGACTGTACTTTTAAGTAGTATATCATGACTGGTGAAGCATTTTTTAATGGCTAGGATTACTGTTTGGGAATCAATTAAAAAAAGCTCTTTGGAGAAATTTCTTTTAGAAGGATCTTATAGTATTTCATGTACAGTATGCTAAATTAAAAAATGTATCACGCTCTAATGATTGGATTTTCAGGCACTACGTGTCCATTTTAATGGTTCACGGGGGTGACTTCAAATATGCTAATTAGTGCTAACTATTAATTAAGTTACGAAATCAGACACAAAAATGTACTTTCTCAGAATAAACATAGATATTTTTTTTGCTTATTTGGATTTCTAAACCTCAAACAGAGATGGGCATTTGTCATTCAGAATAATGAATGAAGAATGATGCATAATTATTCAAAATCTTCCTGAATAATGAATAAAGATTTATTCATTAGTCAGAAATGTTTTGAATAAAGAATAAATCATTCATTATTTTCAATAATTATTATTTAATTCATTGGACAAGAATAACTGAATAATTTCATTGCTCAGCAAAAATGGGCACGGAATACTCTAATTGAGTACAATTGTGACAACTGCAAATAAAACGTACATGGTAATTGCTACATTAATTTCTATTGATATACTACTAGAATTTTGTTTTGTGGTGGCATAATTTCTTTTTCTAGACATTTCAAATACAGAAAATTCTCTATAATAAATTTCTGCCTAGAGTAGTGTTATATTTTTTAATTATATATATAATATAATATATAAATTACAAACATTAACTCTTCGCGGTTCACTGTATATTTTGACCACTGCTTTGTCAGTACATACTGCAGTATTAAACTGTAATTTTTAAAAAATATATCTGGAAAAGTGAGAGAATTTTATTCTTCTGCAACCCTGAAAAGATACTTATTTTTTGTTAACCTTTTTGGATTTTAGAAAAAAATATCAAAGTTTTAAAATTTATTGCTAATTCAAATTTTTAAAAAAGAGTTAATATTTTTTTATTTTATAATCAGTCATAAGAGTATTGGGTTGTAAAAAATAATATTGCTGCAATAATTTTTCCTTTACTTTGAAAAATTCAAAAAAATATAAACAATTTACTTGTTCCAAAACTAATTTAAAATTTAAATTAAGTAAGATACATTACACATTTTCAAATTTACGATTATGTGGCTGCTAAAAATTAGAATTTTACTGATAGTAATAGTTTTCCTATGACTGATGAATGTGATGCAAAAAAGAAACTTCCATTTTTATTTGAAATAATTTTCAAATTAATGGCTGCACCAATAATATTATTATATCAGAGAATATTTTTTTAACATGGTTTAGAAACATGTGAAACTTAATATTGTTTCATCAAAGTTAACATTATGAGAGAAAAAAGCTGGCAGGGTGAAAATTATGTAAAATATCAGTGAAAGCAATATTTATTTTTTAATGTAAATATAGATGTAGAATTGCAATCTACAGCAAATTTATTATGCAATAATATGATGAGAATGTGACAGTAAAAAAAATTTGGTAATGTTCAATATTGAGCAATATTTAAGAAGATAATAAATTTCAATCATTATAAAATGATCAATTTAATTAATATCCGTATAAAGTGCCATGAAACTTATTGTATTCTTTGGAAAAATATTAATTTTCCATCAGAACTATTGCGAAACACATTGAAAAGAAACTAACAATTTGTATAGTTGCATTTGTATAAATGTATATTTTCAGTTTTAAAACTTTTTTATAGTTTTAAATTTGGAATATTTTTTTTTTTACTCAAAATGTGTTTAAACAAGTGAATTAAAAGTTTTATTTTAAGCATATTTTTCTAATATTTTTTTTTCTGCATTGTATAATGTTTAACTTTTCTATTTTTCTTTTCATAATCTAATGTAATGTTAAAGAAGAAACTTTTCTTATAATTTTAGGCTTTTACACCACCCACGTATTTACAAATATATTCACAAGCGTCACCACGAATGGACTTCACCCATTGCCATTACTGCTATATATTGCCACCCTGTGGAACACATTTTTTCGAATTTATTACCACCTTTGTTGGGGCCCTTAGTTCTGGGTAGCCACACAGCAACGTCTTGGTTATGGTTCTCAATGGCTATCTTATCTACCCTGAATGCTCATTCTGGTTTTCACTTTCCTTTCTTTCCTTCACCTGAGGCTCATGACTTTCACCATTTGAAGTAAGGACTTTCACACTTACTATATTTTAGAATATAAGTGGAATAATCAACCCATACCTTCCTCCAAAAAATATTTCTACATTAAACACGGCTATATCGCAACAAAATTTATGTGTTCAAAGCAATCACCTTATTCTTTTTCTTTTATGACATTAATTGATTTTGTTCTTATAACAAAAGTAGTTAAGAAATTTTTATTTTATAATTTTTGATTTCATGATTTTGAGTTTGAGAAGTCTATTACTTAGCAGAAGTGGAATCTTTATGTGACTCTTATGTTTATTTCACTCTTTATTTAAGTATGGCAATTAAATATGACTTTGTTTATTTCACTCTTTACGCTATGAAATATTGCTGTATTAATCTTATACGTTTGATACAAGAAAAGTAACTAATGCTTCTTTAACTGAATGCTTTTTATTTGAAATAAGGTACATTTATCTTAAAAGTTTATAGTGATATAAAAATTAATATTTTCAAACTCACTTAACTTTTCTTCTATAATGAAAAATTATTTTATGTTTCAATGTTAGTAAACACAAAGTTAGTAAAATTAAAAACAATTACAATTTTTTAATATTTGTTTATTTTAGTATTACTAAATTAACAGCAATGATCTGTAATTATACAGCATAAAGAAATATCAAATTTGTGCCGAAAGTAAAAGTCCAAGATTTATATTAGGGTTTGTATAAGACTATAATTTAAAGATGTTATCTATTTTTCAGCTAATTATTAAATATCATGCCATCAAATATGATGCAAACGACATTTAATAATAATTCATTGTTGACAACTTCAAATTTCTCACTATTTTATAAGTTGATTCCATAATTAGCAGTTGCTTTTTTTAAGTATATGTGAATTATTTTTATTCTGTGATTTCATGGTCATCAAAAATCATTTAAAAATATGTTTATTTAACCAAAAATGAAATGTCGAAATTTTAATTTTGCTTCCATTTTAAATATTTAAGAAAAATCTCTCGCTCAAAAGCAGAAAAAACTTAAAAAATATGTAAGTTTAAGGAAAAGAAAAATTTTTTGATTTTAGCATATTTTATCAGTTGCTCATTCTACCTCTTTTCTTACTCATTCTCATATTTGAAACAGCTGTAACAGGTACCTTTCTCAGCTGGTTTATAACAGAGAAACACTATCAGTATTTTTTATTTGCTGTATTATAACCAATTTCAAGCAGTTGTTCTGTCAGCATATTTTCTGAGTGAATTTCTGACTGCCATTTTTATTAATTTTTGTACATTCTCTGTTATGCATGGTACATATTTAAAAACTGTGTTATTATTCCTCATTTTTATTCAAACCAATGCAGACATTAATAGACTATTTTTGAAAAATCAAGAACTGTTAAACTACTGGTTTAAACCACAATTTTAGACTACTTTTTGTAGTTTGATACCAAAAAAATGTCTGATGCATTAACTACTCCTATCATGTATATTTACTGTAAAATATCAATATCATGAAAAATGTACATATTTTGTTGCAATTTTTTAATAAACCTAACTTTTTTCTTCCCTGCAGATTTAATCAAAATTTTGGAGTACTTGGAGTGTTAGATCGCCTGCATGGAACAGACTCCCTTTTCCGCAATAGCAAAATGTATGAAAGGCACATCATGTTACTCAGCTTAGTTCCTTTAAAACAGCTCTACCCAGATGATCCCAAGAAGAAATAGTATTGTTTTTCCCCCCACTCTCATTTTTCAATGTGATTTCACTCACTGTCTAAATACGATTGTTATTAGTCATTGGAAGTGCGCTTGGTTTCTACAGTTAATTCATTAAACTATTGTTATAAAAAAAAGTCTTAAATTTCTTTATTAGCTTTTAATTTCTCCATTCCAACCATATCATTACTTTTGTTCACAACTGTGTTTCAATTATAGTAAATTGTGTATGTAGGTATTTATAGTTAAAACATTCACTTTCTTCCTACAGAGGACTTCGTAGCACTTTGAATTGTTGAAAAAAAAAAAAAAGAATTATATTAGTCATAGGAAGTTAGAAAACATAATTATATTGTTCTTGCTGAAATTTTTAAGCTACAGATAGAAAAATAGGTTTTAAGATTCTGTAATTAAGATCCAATTTAATTTTTTCTTTTTTGTTATCAGGTATATTCCATTTAGAAAGAAAACATTTAGAAAAACATTTTTGAGGTGATAAAAATTGCAGTTATAATGTAAAGTTTGATGTTAAATAAAGTAAATTTTGTAAACAGCGTTTCAATAATGTCATATGAGTTGTAAATATATATATTTATCCTTAATATAGTTAAAAACCTTGCAGTATCAATATAAGTTTTTTTCATAACTTTTAATTTTGTTTAAAATTACAAGTTTAAAATAAGTATTTTCTTTCTAATATATTCATGTTAGTTTCTAATATATTCTATTGTTACTTCAAGTGTTGATTAATATCTCAAATAATATGTATAACAGTTTTTGTCATGAAATATTTTGCACAATTTTCATTAGAAAGTTGTTATTTTTAGTACTTCTCCATTTTCGCTATATGCTAACTAATTTAGCTGTCGTCTTGCAGAGAAAGCTTGTTAAAATCCCCAAGCTCTTCAGTGCATCAATTTGTGTTTCTAAAAATAAAAAATAAACTTTTTTTTTAAAGTTTGTTGCTAACAATTTTGAGATAAAACTGAGTTTATTTGTTACCATCTTTCTTAATTATGAAAAAATTTGTCAGTCACTTCGTTGGAGAATTTTTTTTTTCTGTTTCTAGCATGCAGCTTAATTCATGTACGGATATTTTAGTTATTCTACATCTGAAAAAAATTTTAATTTATACTTTTATTATTGAGTCATCTAATATTTTATAATTTATGTTAATCTTAAATATCTAGTCTATTTTAGTTTACATTTAAAGCTTTAGTCATTGTTATTTATTTTATCAGGTTTTTCTTTCAATATTTTATTTTTGTTATAAATTCATCATTACATTTCATTTATTCATGTTCATTTTATTTCTGTGTGCACAAAATTAATGTTATTTCTAATTATTTGTTAAAAATTATTCTTGTTATTCATTTTGCATTTTATATTGATGCCTCAAAGTTTTACCTTTTTTCTTTATCTAATCATAAGTAATGTCATATTCACTTGTACTAGCAAATGAGTTTTAATCGTGTGAGGGGAGTATTTACTTCATTCACATAAAATACCTGGTTTGACAAGAATACATGACCAGACCAGGCATGGCCAGGTTTGACCGGAATACATGACCAGGTTTTGAATACATGACCAGATAGGGTTTAATTCTGAACAATTTATTTAGCAACCAGTTATTTCTTTTTTCCATTGATTTTGCAGACCTATTTTTTAAAGCGAAAATTCTGCGACCTGAAATTTTTACTAAATATACTGGCTGATGTTTATTAAAATATATATATATAAACATCAAAAAATATTGCTTACTTTTAAAAAACTGTGTGCTTATTATTTTGTAAGCTAATTGTTAAAATACCTTTTTGTTTGCTTTCTGAAGAATAAACAATTGATAGTAACAATGATGGTTATTTCTACTTGGTTTTTACATTTTAAAGTGCTCTACATGTTTGATAAAAATGTAACATCTCTATATTTATTCTATGTTCCATGCAATTGCATTATTCCTATGTTGTTATTTTTAATCTTAATTTAAATATAAATTAATGAAATTTCTTCGTTGATAAGAAACAGGTTTGAAATATTTTTAGTATTTAAATGGAAAATGTTTTTATAACGTTATAATTGTGTTTGAGTATTCTTATTTCCCCCTCAAATCGAGTAAATTAATCTTGCTGTTTATTAAGATAAATTGTGATAATGTTGAACATGTGTATATGTTTTTATGAATAAATCGATTTGCTTGAACTATATTCTGTAAGTAGTGTTTTTTGTATGAATTTATTACTTAATATTTTATAAAGCACTCATCTTAGTTGAGAATATCACAATCTCAAAAACATGTTATTGTGCAATTAAAATTTCCTTTTAATGTTAATAATTTCTGTTCACTCATTCATTTAGGAGCGTCCACTTATTTTAAAGACGCTTCATTCTACTATATAGATTTTATAATTATTAATAGTATGTAGAAACAATTTGTGTTAAATTAACTCTTTGATGAAAATTGCATTTCAATGTGAATTCTTTCCTGTATAGCAAATCAGTTTCTCACATGTGAATGCGATGAATTGGTAAAACATGCATATATATTTGTTCATTTAAAATGAACACCTAAGTATTATATATGTAATGACTTAGTATTTAGAAAAATTAAAAAATTATAAAAGCCAGTGTACTCTAATAAATATGCGCAAAAGCTGCCGACAAAAATTAGAGCAAATATTATGTGTGTGAGAATATATATACTATATATAGAGAGAGAAGTAGAAATTTTCAAAAGATGGTATGTATATAGGTATAGAAATTTTCAAAAGACGAACGTCATCTGAGCATTTGAATTTGGACAAATTTTTAAAAAGAAATAAGGAATATCATTATTTTAATACAGTTTAAAATAAACATAGCCTTATCTGCCTATTTTTTGGCTCAGTTACATTTTTTGAAATTATGTCTATAGTCTCATAATAATTCTCAATAATGAATTATTATTTAATTACTTTAATTTTGAAATTTATTTTGTCTTTACATAGATATGCACTTTCTCTTTACAAGATTTGTTACTATTGTTAAATTTGTTACTATTTTACCAGTTGTAGAACAATCAGGTAGCAACTGACAGCATTATTTACTAATTTTAGCTAAATAAGTTTTTCTACATTTGGTCAATGGTCAACACACTCAGAAGTGTCCATGCTTTATAGTGAGGCTTATATATATGTACAGTGAAACCGGGTTGAACGGATACTCTTGAAACCGAAAAAGTTGTCCGTTTCCTTGAACAGTACCCTAATAGCAAAGTTTAACACCGTAAATTGTTTTTATAATACAGGATGTTTATAAATTCCCGGGCCCATTTTGATGTTTAATAACTCATAAAATAATGAAGATATAAACAAACTTTTGGCATTTATTGATGGAATAACTCATATATTTTCCTTTTCAGGTTTGAATATCTTTACTTTTGTAAATATCGTCTGCGTGTGTGGTTAATTTCATTTTCCAGTCTAAATATCTGTACTTTTCTAAATATCGTCTGCTTATTAATTGCATTTTTCTCTCGTTTATTTTTGGCAACTCTTGCAATGTTATGTTTACTTTTGATGTGTTTGTTCTATGTAGTACTATGTGATGTTTTATTCGAACGGATATTAAGGAGAATGCATACAACAACATGCTTGCCGCTACCTGGCGTGGAATTGACTATCGACTTGATATTCTCCGTGCGACAAAGGAGGCAGTTCATTGGCAAGGGTCATGAAACTTTTTGAGTCTATCTAACCATTTATGTTATTAATTTTAATCTATCTCTATTATTTTATGAGTTATTAAACATCAAAATGGGTCCGGGACTTTATAAACACCCTGTATTTTCAGTGATGTAAAGCTAATTTACTAATCTACAATAACTATCTGCAAGGATATTCATTTAAACTTCAAAAAGAATGTATGAAAAAGTTTGATACAAATACATAATTCTGGATGTAGCTACAGATAAATGAATATAATTTTCCCATTAACACAGATATGTTAGTCATATGATACCGAATAGGAGCTTTTAGTCCTCAATCGGTTTCAATTACTATGTTACACTCCCTAACACCTACCCATCACTTGATAGGAAACTTCCTGCGATTTACAGAACGAAAAAAAAACGAAAGCAATGCTCACCTGTAAGGCAGGAGGACTATGATGGAGTTGATATATTCACAATTAATCATCTATCAAGTGTCTGAATAAATGTTTCATTCATATAAACACCTCAAAGATTATATTTTGGTTCTCTCTCTTTTCTCATCACATATGGTAAATAGTCTTCAATTTGAAAAGAAATTTTCAGTGGGCAAGAAGCATCATCATTTTCGCTTCTTTCATTGCAAAGATCGGGCAAGGTGACAGGAGAAAGATTGATTATTTAGTAGTGAAATAGCTTAACAATATTTTTAGTTATGGATAAGGTAAAAAAAAAGTATTTTTTTTTTTTCAAATTTAGAAGAAATAGTGTCCGGTTTGAAGAGATGAAAAATAACTTTTTAGGGCAGAAATGACTGTCCGGTTACGAGAGTGTTTACTTTGCGGAGAATTTACATAAATGAATGGTTTATTCATGGGGAATTAAAAATATGTCCATATTGAGAGGCATCCGTTTTGCGGGACTGTCCGTAACAGGAGGTTTTTACTGTATATCTATGAATGATGTTTTAGCCACATTAAAAGGAAGCATATAAAATTTATAACAAGCCAGCCTCATACTAATGCTACACTCTAGGTACAATGATAAAAACAAAAGTTTTCTCACTACTTTTTTCAAGAATGAATTACATAAACTTGCTTTTTGGGTGACTTACGGGTCATTACAATAGGTTTTACCTTTTTTTTTTTAGTATCAATATCTTTGATTGCAATGAGTTAAATACTTTACAGAACTACTGACTATAGCTGCTGTGTAGTTACAATAAAAAGTAAACGTTTATCATTCGCTGGAAGATTATCCTATAGCTTTTTATGGGACTAACATATCCCTTACTTAATCTTAACCTTTTTTTTCGAGTGGGTATAAGAAGAAATTTTTTTTCTTCTTTTAAGTTAAGATTTTCTACAAATATGGAATTGTAAAATAAAACCTTTAAAATAACATACAGGTTGTTACTCTCCATTATCTTCACCTAAATTTTTGTTTATTTTTCCCCTCAAAGCCCTCTTTTTTTTTTAATATGATTTTGTTCTAATTAAAGGAAAGCGTGAAATAAATGACCCGGGGACACCATTAAGGTTCGTACACCCAACTTTAAGGTCAGCAGGCTCAGTTTTAGTTAATATCAAATCCCTTTCATTGTCTGAAACAAAATTATTTGATACTTTTAGAAAATGCACAGTTTTGAAAATATACATCTATGAGTATTTAGTTCAAATATTATTTACTTGTTTTTCAAATGAAGAAATTAAGCAGTGAGCGTGTTAAATTGCTATGTTAGAAATGGAAAAAAAGTCGCGCAAAGTGTTGTGGCAAGAGGGGCAAGGCAGAAGAGAAGTATAGCAAATCATCTTTCTCAGTCCCACGTATAAACTAATTTTTGAATATTTTAATCACTCTTTTTCTGTGAAAGAACTTGCTTGATAATGATTGTTTCCATTTCGATAGAGTATATAATCGTAAATAGTTTATTTTACTTCATTATTATTATTTTTTCTTCATTTTCTAACGTCAGAAGTTAGAAAAGAATTAACTGATAGAGGAAAAAAATATATAAAATAATTATCGTAATTTAATTAAAATCAAACTTTCGTCTTTGAGACTTGCTAAATCAGAATATTATAGAATACTATATCATAGTATACTATGATACTAATAGTTTCAGTTGTTGTCTTGTATATGGCAGCGCAAAATATTTTCAATTTCATGAATAATATAAATTTAAACAAAAATAATTGGCGTAAACTATTAAATTTGTCAAAAAATGCATCGTTTTCTATTTAATGAGATTTATTCATTTAGATAAGATTAAGATTTACATTCAGAAATTGCTAAAAGCAATAATTAATTCAGAAGTCTAGTGTTTTCTATCACTGCAGTATTATATTGCATATATCTGATGTTAAATAATATTGTTGAGCTACCAGGATGGGTATCGCAAAAACAGGAAGATATACTTAAATATCTATGTAAAAAAACTATAGTTAATTTTACCAAATACTTTTGATTAGGTAAGAATATGTAAGTCATTTTTGACAGATTCATTTAACATATATTTCACCAACTGCAATTTACGGGGTAAGAATGTGTGCGTTATTTATATTTTTACTAGATTATTTACATTGAAAATACGTCTAAATTTTCGTAAAACTATATGGAAAAGAAAAAGGAAAATTTATGTTAATATACATTTAAAAAAGTTCGCTTATTTTCTATACATTTCACTTTCTTCGAGAAAGGAATCCATAAATTATTTTGACCTATTATTTATTTCAACCATCATCAGGGCGTAAAAATGTATGCATGTAAAATTGATGCGTCTTTTTATAAGAAAAAATGACTAACAAAAAACGAAATTATCAGTTTAATTTCATAGTTATTTAATTTCATTAATAGTAATTTAATTTCAAAAATATCATTTTCTAAAAGAATCTAATTTTAAAATTCAGTAAAATTTAAAGTACAGTTTATAAGCTATAAATGTGAAGAAAAACATTTATTAAGCGCCACCTATAAATAATTTTTTTTTCAGCACTAGAGCTATGTAAAAGATAATTTACTGTAACCGTATCTGTTTTTAAAGCAATAATAAAAACTGAAATCCGTAATGTTTTGACGTTTATGTTTACGATCTACGATTTACGGTCATTTTCTTTTAAATTACTCTTATTTTTTCATTCTTTTTATAATTATTAATTATTTTTTTCTATTATGATCGATCCAGGAAGAAAATATAATGAATTTTCTTTGCCTATGGCTGATGACAATACACCAAAAATACATGATCTCATTGCGAATGGTAAAGAGACTTTAAAAACCTTAAAAGTTTATGTTCCTACTATTGAATATAACAGCGCAATGACATTTGAACAAAACTTAGAGGAAGGTAAAATCAAACTTATGAGCGAATTGCCTGTTAGTGATATTAACTCAAAAAATGACCCAATTCAAGAATGCATGACCTCCTCGAAAATGCATCAAGATTTTTCTCAATTCATCCATAGCAGCAATCAAAATATTTCAGACTTTGATGCCCTCGTAAATCCCAATCTTCAAAGAATCAAAACAGAGCAACAGTCTAGTTCCACGAATTATTTTGATACTGATAATCTTAGTGATACTTCTCAAGATGACGATAAGCAGCATGTATGCGATGTCTGTGATCAGAAATTTAATCGGCGACGTGATCTTGCTCTACATTATTTAACCCACAGTGAAAAGGAAAAGAAGCGTGTCACCACGAAATGCGACCTGTGCAAAAAAATTTTAAAACAGTGCAAGTGCAAGAAAAGAGGGAAAAAAAGTCCAATTACCAATAACTTCGTTCAGTCGGATTGTATTTCTCTATCTCGACCTCTAAATGCGAATACTGTATTTATAAAAGCTGAATCTGTGTCTGGAAAAAGCGATGTCATTAAAAGAGAATTATTCCACTGTTCTGAATGTACTCAAGTATTCGGACTACTTTCTCAAATGAAACAGCACCTCCTTGCACATAAGAGGGAAAAAGCCCGTAAAGAAATGGAAGGAAAATCTCTTACTTGTAACTTCTGTAACAAAAAATGTATGAGTAAAAGTGAACTGTTATATCATAAATCAACTGTTCATCCTAGTAATTCAGATGTGGTAAGTAATCAAATTTATGCAATTGATTCTGAGACCTTTTCGTGTACTGACCTGCAACCCCAAGTTTGCAGTTCTTGCCGAACCGTTTTTAATGACATGAACGGTCTCCAAAAACATTTTAAGCGTCTCGGTTGGGTTTGCGGAATCTGCAGTACTTATTTTTGTCTTAAAAGTGATTTCAATGCTCATTGTTTGACACATTTAGATAGTGTGTCTTTTGATAGCAAAAACGATGAAATACCAACAACGGAAAGTTTGCTTAATCCGGCGACTGAAAACAGTGAGACTGGCGTTTTATCGTGTAAGAAATGTCCTAAAAAATTTAAATTTGTCTGGATGTTGAACCAACACAAACTTAAACATACTTTGAGAAAGAATAAATTCTGCTTTAGGTGTAAGAGAAATTTTAAACATAAAAGGAATGCTTGTATTCATTTCTTCAGCCATGGAAATAGTAAGAAGTACGAATGTGGTGAATGTGACAAGATATTTTATGAGGAGAAGTGTTTACAAGTTCATTTGTTTAGAGTTCATTGATGTTTTACTGAGGATAAGCTTAAATTGTAACGGAATATTCATGGAAAAATCATACTTTAGTTTTAAAAATAAAGTTTATTTATTTTGAATACTTGTATTATTCCATAAGTTAAACTATTCACTTGCTTTTAACCTACATTTATATAGCCTCTTTAATAATATTACTTACAATAATATTTATAAAAAACTACTTTAGATTGTTTTTTATAATGTAAAATATATGTATAAAATTTTTTTTTTCAATGATTATTTAGTTTGTATCACAAAAGTTGTTTTATAATTTTACCATATTTTATTTAAGTTGTTTAAGATAAGTCTAATAGTCACTTACTCTTATTTTGTTAACTTTCCTGTTATGAAAATTAAAAGAATGTATTCATATTGATTTAATATCCCCTTGATACTGTGTGATATAACTTTATAAGGAATAACTATTTTACCTTTTCTTTTTGCAAACTTAACTTTTCTGATTTTTTTTATTATTCTCATAAATTATATCTTAAAACTAGGGATAGTCAGTCTACCTTTAGATTGTAACTGAAACTTTGGTTGTGGGGAAGTTTTGTACAATATCTTTTGGGCAAGTTTTCCTAATATGTAAAAATTAATCATTATTGTTTGTAATTATAATTTTGAGTATTTTTATTATTAAATGTATAGAAAATATAGATTTAGTTGACCAGCCACAATATTATTTATTTCTTTTGTTACCACATTATTATTTAGCTACAAATCTATTTTTTATTTGAACCATTTTATTGTAATTAACGATTCTTATAATTAATCAAATTACATGGGCAGTTCCTTTTGCAGATGTTTGATAAATTGCAATTAAGTGCTTCGATTCCTTAAAATATTACTCCTTTCTGATTTTAAATATCTTTGTTGTTTGTCTCAACAATGCGCATGCATTTGCATTTCCCTTAGCTAAGGGATTAATGGTGTATCCGATTGAAATTAATTCCTAACATTCTTAAACAAATATTTTGAAAACTTATTTACTTATTAACAATAAATTTTGCTACAATAAAATTTAAAAAACTTGTTTTTTCAATTGCAGGGTGAGTCATTTAACATACCTTTTACATGTGCTTTTACTTTTGAGTGTATTCTGAGAATTTCTGTTATCATTAATATTACATTAAAACGCAATAATTAAACGCAATACTTTCTGTCACGTTTTTGTCCATCTGATTTTTCTTTGAAAGATGTTAAATTTTGATAGAATTTTTTTCAAACATTACCAGGGGTCTGTTCAGACATTTTGTGAAAGGTCCAGTTTTTGAAAAATTGTGAAAAAACTATTCATTATTTGTGAATATAAAATAAGCGTTAAGTCACATTCTTTCAACCAGGGTCCTGCTTTTGTGAATTTGTGCAAATAGGGTCCTGTTATTGCAAAAATTGCTAAAAACCTTTTCAAGAAGTTTTTAAATTGTAAATAGATACAAGATTCTGCTCAACAATTGCTGCTACTAAATTAGAGATGCAACATACAAATATTTGGTATTTAGCCTATACTGCTCAACACAGAATATTCATTTCGGACGAATAATGGAAACAAAATCACTCACATTTTTAATAATTTCAATTGACATATTTTAAATAACACAACTTAGTAATGTATCACTTTTAATGTGTTACGCATTAAGTAAACTTAAACAATTCTTAAATTTATAATATTTTATTTAAAAAATTGCCAGAAATTAATTTTTATTTGCATAATATTCTATTAATTAATTTTATGAATAAATATAAAATGATCAATTATTTATTTACAAAAAAATAATTATGATTTATTATTAATAAGAATGCGCACACGATGTTTGTAAAAGTAGAAACCGTTTTTCATCCCCCCCTCCCCGGGAAGGGTTCATTCGATTAACAAAACAATGATGAAGATAAATAAATTTGTGAAGGGTCTGATTAAGAGATAAATTATTTTGTGAAGGATCCGTTTTTATGAAAAGATATTTTGTCAAGAGTCCGTTTTTATGAAAAGATATTTTGTGAAGGGTCCGTTAACAGATCCAAATTTCTTCTAAAAAGACCCCTGACACTTAAAAGTTTTTAATTTTATTTCCTAATTTTTGCTCCAATAAAAGTATCCGAACATGTTTTTCTATCAGTATAGTTATTCATTATAGCTTATGTAATATCTTTAGTTTAATCTTTAATTCTATGTATTTTGCTTTTTCTTACTCTAACTTGTCATTTTTTTCTGTATTTGAAACACTCTCTCCTTCATGACAGTGCAAGCTGTTTTTTTCCTTCTCTTTTCTTCTTTCGAAGCATACAGCCTGTTACAGGCCAAGGCCGTCCCAAGTAGTCTTCGTCATCTGGTCCTATCCGCAGCAAGGTTCTTTCAGTTTCCATTATTTCTTTTTATTTTATTTTCTTCATTTTAATATCCAATTACTATTTGTTTCCAATTTACCTATTCTTACTGATCTCTTTTTCTGAACTTGAAACACTCTTATTTTTTTTTTCAAGTCTATACATGTTGTTTTATTTAGTTTCTAAGAGAAGTAAAGAATAATTTTTCTCTACATAACAAAGTATTTTGTAATTTTTCTCTACATAACAAAGTATTTTGTTCAAAATGTATGTTACAGTTTTATATATTGTTTCAGAAATGATTTCCTGATTTGAAAATTTGATGTGTTATAACTGAATTATTGTTTACAGGTGTGACTGTGACTACTTTTTCATGGTTTCAGTTTGAGGTGGAAGGTAGAAATCCTATATCCGAAGAATGGACTAAGTGCCTTTTATTTACAGAATTTATTTTTTTATTCTAACTATATACCTCCTTTTGAAAGACACTATATTAATTTATAAAAAGTAGTTTGCATGTTTCAAGAAGTGTAATCAAAATAATAAAATATAATATGTTTGCTTACTTTTGTTTGCTAGTTAAAAGTAAAACTAATTCAATTTATTATCGGGGACATCATACTATGTGAAGCAATTGAAGTGACTATTTTTCAATTCCTACTGTTAATTCACACTCTCTCTATATCTTGTTCAAACTTTCAATCCTTAATAAAATACAGTCAAACCTCGATATCTCGAACTTGAAGGGAGACGAGAAAAAATTCGAGATATCGAAAATCACATGTTATCGATGGTAGAATAAAGAAAAATGCTCTTTACATACCTTATTTACTATTCCATATTTATTCTAAAAACACTTTTTACGCTTTCATTTGAAAAAAAGATTGAATTGTTTGCTTCAGAGATGTGTAAGAAAGTTTGTCTATAACTCTTTTTAAGTGGACTACAGCTTTAAATGTCTCCTCTGACATATTCGGATGTCGCTCATTAAATCTCCTTATAGTGTCCACTGCAGAAAGGGTTTGTTTGTTAGTAACATTGGGCTGTAAACCTTCGATTTCCTCATCCTCTTCTGATAGTTCACAAGAAGCTTTCGTTTGAGCGATGATATCATTGTCATCCCACTGACCACACACTGTTACTGCATCATCTACGTTTACAAAGTCATGAAATTCCTTGTCATCAAGCTTCATGAGTCCGATCAATCTGTTCCAATCATTTTCGGTGTAGTTTTCAGCAGAATTAACGATATTGATTGTTTGACCACTTTTCTGACCTTTAATGAATCTAGACTTCTTGAAGTCATTCATTATCGTAGAGGAAGACACATCATTCCATGCCTTGTCAGCCATTCTTAAAAATTTCTATTTTTTTTGGAATATTTTTTTAATTTTAGAAAAAAAATCTACTCTATTTATGGTGAGAAAGAAATTCAAGTTATCGAGGGATTAGAAAAAATAAATTCATGAAATCAAGTTTTTTTTAACATTGAGTGTATTGGAAATTTGAACGGAATTTTTTTTTTCTTCGAGATATCGAAAAATTCGTGAAATCGAGGTTCGAGTTAGCGAGATTCGACTGTACTTCATCAAGGTCAAATAAGTTTTTTTAAACTTGTAGTGGGTGACACTTGATGTTAATACAGCTTTTTCAAATATTAATTCGTTCATTAAATTNAATTTGAAGGGTGACGAGAAAAAATTCGGGATACCGAAAATTCGTATTATCGAAAATCGCATGTTATCGATGGTAAAATAAAGAAAAATGCTCTTTACATACCTTATTTACTATTCCATATTTATTATAAAAACACTTTTTACTCTTAAAAAGATTCAATTGTTGTTTGCTTTAGAGATGTGTAAGATAGTTTGTCTATTACACTTTCTAAGTGGACCATGGCTTTAAATTTCTCCTCTGACGTATTCAGCTGCCTCTCAATAAATCTCCTTACAGTGTCCACTGCAGAAAGTGTTTGTTTGAGAATTGATTATGATTATGAGAATTGGCTTTCTATTCTTAAAAATTTTTTTGGAATATTTTTTATATTTTCAGGAAAAAAAATCTACACTATTTATGGAAAAAAAATTCAAGTTATCGAGGGATCAGAAAAAAAAATTCGAGAAATCAAGGTTTTTTTAACATTGAGTGTATAGGAAATTTGAAGGGAATTTTTTTTTCTTCGAGATATCGAAAAATTCGTGAAATCGAGGTTCGAGTTAGCGAGGTTCGACTGTACTTTTTATTCATCCATTTAAGTTCAAATAAATTTATTTTTTTTATTTTTAATCCCAGCAGATCACCGAAGTCAAGCATCACTGGCTACGGTCAGTATGCGGGTGGGTGACCACTTGGATCAGTCTGCGTAGGGACCGAGGGTGTGCGGTATGGGTCCTCGTTAAACTGTGCTACCGTAAAGTGCTCGACTTCGCGCGCAGGTCGTCGGGCTACCAAAGCGGGGGTGCCCTCCCCTCCGCAGAGGATCAAAATTGTGATGTCATGTCTTCGGATCATCCTCCGGGATGCTTCCCAGACCGTCGCCAATAGCCCATTGTGCAGCTCTAGTGCGACGTAAATTAACAATCAATCAATCAAATTTTTTTAAACTTGTAGTGGCTGACACTTGATGTTAATACAGCTTTTTCAAATATTAATTCGTTAATTAAATTAAGTTTTATATTGGGGGAAAATTGCAATTATTAAATAGAAAGTAACTAAAATGAAAATTTTTGTTGTTAACCTATGTAGGAATTGACTTTAAATTATTATTTTTTTATATTACTTGTTATAGATAAAGTTGGGGATTGTTTTATATTTATGTACCTTTAATTTTAAATGCTTGAACTAATATTTAAATATTTAGTAAAATTTTAATGGGACATATATTTTAAAAATTTCTATTGAACAAAATCAGGTTATGTAAATACCAGACAAAATAAGATTTCAAATTCATTAATGTTAGTTAAACTCTGATTTATTCCACATTTGTAGCATTCATTGAACTTTGCTCAATCGAGGGAATATGGTTTACTTACTGTTGTGGGTATAAATCTATTGTTGTATTGTCCCAAATATTGTAAAAATGGTTAGAGATTAAAAAGAAGTATAGTTGAAAAATAATAGACGAGAAATCATGGTGGTGAAATTAGTATTTAACGAAATTTTAGGTAATATGTTTTATGGTTTGCAAAAAAAATTAAAATGAATAAAATAAATAAATCAAAATGTTAGTTGTGAGAGTGAAACTGCTTAAAGAAGTACTTAAAAGTATTTTAAAAACAATATCTTCATCATTTGGGCAAATTATGATATGGTGAACTACTGATAAATATAATCTCGGGGGTCTGAATTAATCTCATTCGTGAATTTGTATTTCTTTAATCCATGTTAAATGAATGAATCTTCATTCTGAGTGAGTTTCATAAGTCAAATTATTACAATCATGCTGTAGAACAGAAAACATTTAATAACAAGAAAATATGATATTAACGTTACAGTGGTTGAATCAAACCTGAACTAATTGATATAAAACTGTGCGAAGCATTAAATAATATCTGCACATTCAAATTATTAGTTATAGTTGAAGTTTTAACAATTTTTATATAATCTTATTTAAAATAGGATTACTACAGCCCACAGTTAATATGTGTGAGACATTTCTTCTCTTATGGTTATTTTGATTTAAGAATGTTCATGATTAGTTTAAATTTGAGTAAATAGTTAATGTACAGGGTGACAATTATTGTACTAATTGAAATAAAATAAGATGCCCGGTGGCTGAGTGGTAGCACCTGGGTTTGATCCTCAGGCCAGGCAAGGATGCCTCAGCCTTTCATCTCTTCAGTGGGTGGATGGATGAGTACCAAGCATGCTTGGGAACTAAAAACTGGCGGTTTTGCTTTCGACTGACCACCTAACCAGATCATCTGCTCCTGCATCCCAGAGCACAAGGTCAAGAAAACTGAGATGGACACAGTAGGCCTTGGCCCTCTATGGGCTGTCGTGCCCCTGAGTTTTGTTTTTTAGAAATAAAATTTATAACTTTTGAATCGTTCAATTAAAACTTTGTGGTTAAAAGAAAGCCATGGTGGGATAGTGAGAGTACTTTTAATTTGCTTATTTTTTTGGTGAAAATATCAAAATCAAATTTAATGTATTTCAAAGATATTTCGTTACACTTCAGTGTGTTTTGTAGAATTTTGCTATTATTGCCACATCGTAGCCATTAATGGTAAGCATTACAAATGCTACATTAACTAAATCCAAATATCCGTTTCTTTTAAAATTTGCATAATTTTTTTTTTTTTTAATTCGCAGAGGTTTTGAAGAATTTATTATTTTTATTTCATAGCTCAATTATTGTCAGCTGTGACAATAAAATTTTTTTTTTTCCAGAACAAGAAGTCAAGGAAAAAAAAATTGCTTATATCTTCTTAATCAAAATATATGAACTGTAGATTTAAAATATACAGGGTGTTCTGTGAAGACCACTCTTGTTATATATTTTAAAATTCTTGTCAAAAAGTATGCATATTAAGGGTCGCTTATTAATGATTAAGGAGAACCAAAAAGGGTTTCATAATCCGTGGAATTGGTGAGGTAAGCGCAAAGAAAAGCATAATAACCAGTTTGAGTCCATGATGAAATTTAGAGATGTTATGAATTATTGCCTTTCAATTCCTCTCTGTTTTCTCAAGCTCTCAAACAATTTTTTATGAATTTGTTATTGCGTTCTATAGTAGGTATTTCAATAGCGTTTTTCTTTTTCCCTCGCTTAAACATTAATATGTAAACTTAAACCTTTATGCAACCTTAACCCTTTAATATGCAACCTTTGTTTACTGCATTTTTGACAAGCTTTCTAAATTATGAAGGGTGATGTTTATAAACACTAAGCGTGCAATAGTCACGAAAGTTGCTTCCTTATTGGCTATTTGGCTAATATAAAAAATAATTATATTATTGGCCATTTATAAAAAATAATTTAAATATATTTTAAATTATTTTTGAAACATATTTTAAATTATTTTTTATAATGTCAATTTAAAAGACTTATTTTTTTTGTTAAAATTTATCACTGTTTTACTTTTTTTTTTCTTTTATGAGATTTTCAAAAATTAGAGCTTCCTTCGGATATTTGATAATTCCTTAATACGAAATTTGATAATATCCTTAATTCCTTTCATGAGATATTAAAGCAGACATAATATTCAACCTCTCATAATTTTATTTTAGACACACAATGCAGGAAATGAACAAATCAACATTATCTTTAACAACATTTTATCAATTATCGCAAAACATCAATTTATTTATCATATAACAGTTAATCGATTATTTATCATAAAACTTTAAATTGGAGCATCTTAAATTGATTATTGCTGTGGATGCTGAGTATTGTGTTTCAATTTCACTCATAAAAGATAAACTTTAAAAATTCGATTACTGCTACAATAACAATAAGTTGAAAAAATACTCTCAAATTTTTAAAATTGCACACCCATAAAAATTGTTATAACGATGATTGATTTCTTAATGTTCACGCTAAATCAATCTTTCAGACTCTTCTTCATTGCTAGTGACTGTTTTTGACTTTTTGGGTAAACTGAACTTCAATTTGGTCCAAAAAAGGCACTCGCCCCATTTTATCAAAGTGCTCCTCTTCACTAGACAATTCAGTACAGCATCCAATTTCAATTCTGGTGGTATGCTATCCGTAATGATGAAGATGAATCGTTGGGCTGTTTTTTCGATTGAGCAAGCCATAGCCGTTTTCATCAGTTGCATGCATTGAGAATTTCGTAGAAAATTGCTGAAAAAAGAAAAATCAAAATCTGATTGAAGTTATGCAAGATATCAAGATTTAGTTTCTTGCACGCAACATTTCAGTACCGAGTGCACGTATATTATTGTCAGTTTTTTGCGACATAATGTTTCAGAAAGGAAATGTGATTAGAAGAACTATTAAGTTCCACTGTTAAGAGAATTTTTGCTAAGTAACATTTAAGATTTTTAAGAATGTTGGTCTGTAAAATCCTGTCGGAACATTTTCGCGAAAACTCAAAAATAGCACTAATTATCACGTTTTTTTTTNTTTTTTTTTTTTTTTTTTTTTTTTTTTTTTTTTTTTTTTTTGCCGACAGTGAAAAGTTACATACCAAATATATGACTATTTACTTTTATTTAGTATACATAATTCATATACAGGAATATATATTTTAACATTATGTGCTCAAAAATTTTGAAAACTGTAAAAATATTTTTCTTAAAAAATTAACTTTTTGTTTTAATTTCCATTAAATATGCGCTGATTGCAATATTCAACGATTTGGTGAAATTTGCGCTAGCTTTTTTGTTTGACAGGATTCTACACAAGTACCAAAATTTTAAAGAAGTGATACTCCTCCCCCCTCTTTTTTAGCTCAAATAGTAAGTAAGAAAATGTAGACTTTCCAATCTACTAAGTAAATTCAAAGTATGATAGATCTTACCCTTTTCTTTTTAATATATTTTATTTTTTATCTTCAACAGTATGAAGGCTTCCCAAATGAAAAGTGCACACGCTTAATAGCGTCAGAATTCAGAGTTATCTTACAGTTCGCATGAGAGCATTCTAAGTGAATGTAAAGTCATAAAATGCTTGTGGCCAGAACGCAATAGTAAGATTCTTAGCAGCGGATACAAAGCTTATGTGGACATTAAAAACCTTTAGGGTAGAACGGTTTATGTCTATTTTTCACAAAAGTTATGATTGAATCACCATTTGCTGCCATTTAAGGATTATTAATTGAGAAAAAGAATGGGGGGTATGGTCCCCTCTTACAGATATACAGGCCTTGCAACGTAATTTCATACTTGAAATAAGGCAGTTTATCATTTCCTGTGGCAATAGGTCCCACTCTTTCAGAAACACTGTTTTCATTCCCTGGATGGTTCTCGGAGGGGGTAGCGAGTTGCAATTGCCCTCCCCAGACATGCTCCTTAGGGTTGAGATATGGCGATCTGGCTAGCCAATCCATCCGACCAAAAGAGTTCTATGTGACCTCGCGTTATCGTTCAATAAAATGAACACAGGGCCCACTGCACCCCTGAAAAAGCGAACATAGTGCTCCAAGACCTGACACAGTCGCAGGGCTTCTTTCAAAGTCATGGAGAGGTGTACGGCCATCCAACATGATGCCTGCCCTGACCATTAAACCTGTTCCGCCATAATGGTTGATTTCGCGGACAATGGAGGGTAGTTAACCCTGGGTAGCGGGTCCCTGGTTCTCTCTGGTTTTATTCTTTTCTAGAGAATAATTACGATTGTCAAATAGAGATCTTCCTGTTTATTATTATTATTCCTTGGAATCTTACCTAGATAGAATAACTATAACTTTACAACAGTCTGCTACGGATGAATTGATACTGAGGGGAGAGGATGACAGAAGTACTTGTCGGGAAGGTACAAAGAGTCGGTATTTTCTGGAATCAGTCTCTAAGCCTGTAAAATTAAAAGAAATGTAAAAGGGGAAATTTTTTCAATATGCTCAAATGAAAATAAACATCAGGTGATACTTGTATATGTCAAATAACTGACACAGAGGCCGGGATAGCCTGGTTGTTAGAGTACTGGGCCCTTGTCCAAGAGTTCATGGGTTCGATCCCCGCCGGCCGAAGTAAATGACGAAGAAGACTCCTCGTGTAATAAATAGTGACTGATGCACGCTAAATCTGTCGAGTTACAAAGTCCTCTATGTTCCCATAACAAATCAATACATCTAGGGGTACTGATCCAGGAGTTTCCTTGTCTTCTGGATCGGTTTAAAATTACAAGGCTACGGAGTTAAACATTAGTAGTCGTAAACCCCAAAATTGGGTCGGCTGTTCAACGACGGTTATAGAATAACTGATACAGTGTTCATTGCTCTAACACGATCGTATGGCAAACCTCACAATATATGTACACGTCGTTCTTTAATAACCCATTCAATATTTATCAGGTTGAATTGGCTAATGTAGTTTCCTCTGCACGTAGGAATTTTGAAATGTGTTTTATAATTTTTGAATCGTAAAACGTTGAACCCTGATTTTGCAATAATTTTCATAAAAATGGCTCTATTTTGTAATTTTTCTAAAAAGAAAGAAAGAAAGACCTATTACCCCGTGTAGTTGGTGACTGATGCACGTTAAAATTCTGTCGAGTCGCAAAGTCCTCCATGTTCCCATAACAAATCAATACCTCTGCGGGTACTGGATTGGAGATCGATCGTTCTCTGATTTAGGTAAAAATTACGATCTGTGGATGTATGAATGGGTCTGCCTTATAAACAGGTGTGACGTATGATGTGGCAGAAGTCAAATTCTTGGCCATAGATGGCGCCACTGAAAAACAAGAATCGCACACTCTGCCTTAAATTTGTTCAGTTTCACCAAACAGGCTTGCCCGTGTGGCAAGTGGCATTAGAACCAACCAACCTGTGAATAGTTATGTAAATAATAACAAACTTCCTAATTCCGGGAGAAATTTACAAAAGTTTGCGTGTATCCCTCCGCTTATGTTATGCTTACGGAGGTGACGTGTGAATGTTGATATTCTAGGAAGTTTTATTATTGTGATTTTTGTAATCAAATGTACGTGAAATTTCACCATTCATAAGAGTTTTCTGTTATTTATAAATTCTAACAGGTCGTGAGCCGAAACCAAAGTTAACCCTTTCGCGCCTAACGGGACACATACGTCCCAAGCAAATTTCAAAAAAATCTTTTGGGACAGAAACGCTTTTCTGTCTAGTGGGAGACTTTCCCACCAGTCCTGCCAATATTTTGGGAAGTATTTTTATTCACAGAACATAGATGGCACTACCGTACATAATGCAATTCCTGCGTTTTTGAAGTGTTGTAGCAGCTCATTCTATACTGTACGAACGTAAATAGTTTAGTTTTGAAAAATACCGTCTATTTTCGATTAAATTTTGATTTATGTATAAATCTAAGGCCAGAGAAGTTACTCACGAAGCGGATTACCTCTAATAAACTGATAAGTAGCAAAGTTTTACTTCCGTTTTTATTATCGGGACATATGTTTCCCTCTCGTCTTGGATAGTGGGAACATATTATCCCAACAGTCCTATGTGATCATTGGTTTTCTTTTCCAAAATTACTCATTGAAGACTACTAGGACACATATGCCGCAGTTGTCAGGACCGATGGGACATATATGTCCCGATCCTAAATCAGTGTTTAAAATCTTCCTAAAAATATAACATCTTAGTTTCATCTAACCCTACTCATAGTTTATGCTATCAAAATTGTTCTGTTGTAAAAAAAAACTTGTCGCGAGAAGGTTAAGAAAATTAATATCGCAACTTAAATAAAGTGTAAGGTTTGCCGTGTTTTGAGTGTTATCCCTTGGTTGGCTACAATTGCGTGGAATATCGCTGGTTCTTATTTGTTTCGTTGGAAGTTAAATTGAAAGAACGCTTAATATTACAAACATTGTAAGTGTAATAATATTGATTGGCGTGCTTTACCAAGCTTAGGCGTGAAAATCATTCGGAAGTAGTAACCCGGAACTCTTACGACGAATTTCAACCCCTAGCGCTATCTGTGCCTAGCTTTGCAGGGCCAACCATACATTATAGGCATCCATTATTATATATTTGCAAGTGACGTAGTGTGGGTATCTCCATCCTGATTGGTTGTTGAAACGTGGCATTTGTTTACATTAACAACTGTTCTTTCCATTCTATTTCGAGTAAGCCAAGTCCGTCAAGTATCAATTCTTTTAAATGACACAGTCTATATTCTTTTACTATATATTTCTTACTTAACACAAGGACAGGCACGAAGCCATGCAGAACATTAACAAACAAATTATGCATTGAAGTTGCCAGGTACACAAAACAAAAATATATAACGGTTATGATAAAATGCATAAGCAAACAATAATTCTTAGTTAAGTAAAAGACGTTAACGAAGAAGAATTATATTTCAACAAATTCGATGTTCAATACAAACTTGTATTTAATTAACTTCACGTAAATTGACATTCTAACTTGTGTGTAAAACGACTTTACCTGCCATTTTGCTTACAAACGAGCAGTTGGCGCTGACGTCATAGGTCACATGTGTGGGTATCTGATTTTCTTAAAATGCATGTACCCATTTGGATACCTACAAGTGACATAATCGTTGGTAAATCGTGATATTTGTCGATGCAGGAGCCAATCAGATTCGACACACACGCGTGACGTCGCTTACAGGTATCCAATTAAATCTGCTTACATGGTTAGGTCAAAGAACTTATACAATCTTTACAACTTATTTAGCAGGAAACAGTTTCCCATCTTCACCCTTATACAATCTTTGGTTAGGACTAATCACTTCACTTAAGGTGCATTCACCCAATTATCCGACTTATCGAGTTCTCCTTTTTTAGGAGTTTCTTTAAAATTATTTGATTGAAATAATTTTAATTCAAATCATGCTACTTTATTTATTATGCCCTTTATAAATTTGGAAGAAGAAGTCGTTTCTTTGAGAAAACTGTAGAAATATTTATTATGTCTGCACAATAAATTCCGTCCAAAATTTACAATTTCGCGAATCTTTAACGAGTAGTTTATTCAGTTGAATTTTTGCGTTTTTAGTTACCTGAATCTGCATTTTAATATTTTATTGATAATAGGACTTTATTGATAACAGGAATAATTTCCTTTTTCCTAACATTCCATGAATTATTGCATAATGATATCCCTTAATATATATTTTTAAAATATTTGTCAAAGATAATTTACACAAATTAAGGGTTGCAAAGTGCTTTCGAACTCTAATACATCACTGCTGAGCAAGTCACGACTATAAACATTTGACTACCAGAAGAAAAAAATATAGTTGAAAAGCGATTCTTAGAAACGCATTCAATTTTCATCTGGCAATCAAACTGGTTTTACTGTTTTTTATTCCACCTCCTTCCTCATTAGTGATTTGGCAGACTTTGATTGCATGTTTGTTTTTTCCTTGCTTAAACATTAATTTTCAATCCCTTATGTGTATACTTTGAGAAAGATACATTACGAAAGCCATCTGCACATAATAGAGGAAAATAAATTGATTCGCTGATAAAAGAATAGTGAAGCGTTTGATATTTTTCATAATTAATATTTTAAAATCTTAATGAATTAGTACAAACCTTCTTCAATAACTCCCAAAGCGAATTCATCATCTTCATCTGCAAATAATAGAAATGCATCAAAGGAATAATCATAGTCTTCTTCTGTCTTTAAGCATTGGCATCCACATTCAAAGAAGATAGCTACGAGTAGTTTCCGATATAAATAGAGAATGAAACAGGTCATCAGTAGGAACACTGAGAAAATTGCTAAAAATTGAAAAGAATAACACAATTAAAAAATATTGGAAAAAAAATTTAAAATCTTGAAGTGGATGTATCAAAAACATAAAGCTGTTGATAAAAGTTTATTAATGTTGATAAAATGTTAAAAAAATCGAAAAGTGAAGTAAGAATTTAGTCAAATTTATCATGGTAGGGTTAACAACGTTAACTCTCAACTGCATCACGAATCTCTCTTTTTTTTCTTCTTTTTTAAAAAAAAATATATAACAGAGAATGAAAAGAGAATTTACAAAGGAAAGAAGGAAAGAAATATAGTATATATATAGAAAGAGATTTCGAATGTTTTTTTTTATTGTTTTTATAATACGAAATTTAGTATTTAGATTTAAAAAAACGAATTTAAGGAATTCGGTTATGAAAATGTTATTGTAAAAACAGTTGTTTTAAAATTATTTTAACCACGTAATTGAGTTTAGCAAAATATAATAGTAGTTAAATTATACTTTTTTAAAGTTAAATAAGTCATAGGTATAAAGATATGTAACAAATCACCCTTTCTTTGAATTTCGAATTCGAGGGTTTTTTGGCTTTTTTTGATGAAAAAAAATTTATTAATCCGAGAGTGAATCCCTTCACCAGTGGAAATAACGAAGTTACTGTGAAAATTCGGAAGAAACTCAGAGCTTTATTAAAAACTAGAATACATTTTAGAAAACTATAAAGTATTTGCTTGCTTAACACTTATTAAACTAACAAATAAATGTGAGTTGTTTTTTTTTGTAAAATAAATAATACATTTTTTTACCTATGATAACAATATAGGTATCCTTCTCCGATTTTTCAGGACAAAAATTTCCGTAGTTGAGATTGATGATAACTTGATTTTTCAGACTGCCATTGTCTCCACACTTGATATCTTGTAAGTCTAAAATCTTCAAAATAAAAACACTGACTTCAGGAACTAGAATTAATTTTTAAAGGTGTAAAAATATGATGTGTGTAAATGTAATGATATTGTGACAAAAGTAACTTCGAGTGCTTTTTATAGTTAATGTTGTAATATTAGATTTATTGACCTAAATAAGTTCGAAACGTGTTTTGCACAAAAACTTTAAAAGTTATTAGCTAAAATAAAATAAAACTTTAAAAAAAAATAATTCTTAGAAAATTATTTTGAATAATTTCTTTATATTTAAATTGCTTTACTTTTCTTCAAAATTAAATTTTCTTATTTGCACATGCGTAATTAAACATAGAGCTATTAAAGCATTATTTTCGCTTTTAAACATTATTATTATTATTATTTTAAATTCTTCTTACTTATTTCGTTGTATAATTCTCTGGATCTGATTAAATTAGCATTTTATCTCTTGAAATAGTTTTTTTTTTCTGAGATTACTTTAAGATATAAATTCAACTGAGAATACAGATATAAATTCAACTCAGATTACTTTAAGATATAAATTCAATTTACATGCTTTTCAGGGTTAACCTAAATAATTAATCGATTTTTAAAAATGACTGCTTATTTGAAAACATATAACGTACAAGATGGGTGATACATGAAAAAATACATATGGTTATAGTTTGTCTGAGGTAAGAACTCCCCTAGCTAGTCGCCTGTACCCGTGGCTGTGACGATGGTAACGAGGTATAACTATTTCAAGTAGGGGTGCGGGATCATTTCTTAGGACATGTTTTGGCTCGGTTCGGCGAGAGAAAGGGAATTTTTTTTCTCCGGTTTATTGTGTTAGCCCTAGAGTGGAGAAGCTACCCTCTCTGAAATGCGCTATTCTTGTTTCCATAGCAGCAGACGGCCTCAGACTTTGTGGGGGGGGGATTTCTTACCGTAGACAAACGATACAAAGTTCCTGACGTGTGCACCTTGGTCATCTGACGCTGTCACACATCCAAATAGCAAACCAGTTTCGGCCTTACGTTCAATAGTATGATTCTAGCATTGTCCATCCCTGAACCAATGATGTGTTCCTGCAGGCCTTAGGGATATAGTGCGGCTTTGAGGAGAACTCCTCCAGACTGAAAGTCTGNTAAAATAAATAATAAATTTTTTTACCTATGATAACAATATAGGTATCCTTCTCCGATTTTTCAGGACAAAAATTTCCGTAGCTGAGATTGATGATAACTTGATTTTTCAGATTACCATTGTCTCCACACTTGATTTCTTGTAAGTCTAAAATCTTCAAAATAAAAACACTAACTTTAGGAATTATAATTAATTTTTAAATGTGTAAAAATATTAATGATATTGTGACAAAAGTAACTTCGAGTGCTTTTTATAGTCAATGTTGTAATTTTTGATTTCTTGACCTAAATAAGTTCGAAACGTGTTTTGTACAAAATCTTTAAGAGTTATTAGCTAAAATAAAATTAAACTTAAAAAATAATAATTCTTAGAAAAATATTTTGAATCTTTTTTTTTTTATATTTAAAATGCTTTCCTTTTTTTTTAAATTAAAATTTCTAATCTATACATCTGTTATTAAACATAGAGTTATTGCATCATTATTTTTGCTTTTAAACATTACTATTTTTTTTTTTTTTAATTCTTCTTACTTATTTGGTTGTATAATTTTTTGAATCCAATAAAATTAGCATTTTATCACTTGAAATAATTTTTTTTTTCTGAGATTACTTTAAGATATAAATTCAACTGAGAATAGGGATATAAATTCAACTCTGATTACTTTAAGACATAAATTCAATTTACATGCTTTTCAGGGTTAACCTAAATAATTCGTCTATTTTTAAAAATGACTGCTCATTTAAAAAATATAACTTACAAGTCGAGTGATACATGAAAAAATACACATAGCTGTAGTTTGTCTAAGGTGAGAACTCCCGTAGCTAGTCGTCTGGACCCATGACGGTGACGATGGTTACGAGGTATAGCTATTTCAAGTAGGGGTGTGGGATCATTGCTTAGGACATGTTTTGAAGTGGTTTCGGCCAGAGAAAGGGAATCTTTTTCTTCGGTTTATTGTGTTAGCCCTAGAGTGAAGAGAATCTACCCTCTATGAAATGCGCTATTCTTGTTTCCATAGCACCAGGCGGCATCAGACTTTGTGGTGGGGGTATTTCTTACCGTTGACAAACGGTGCAAAATTCCTGACGTGTGCACCCTTGGTCATCTGACACAGTCACACATCTTAATAGCAAACCATTTTCGGCCTTACGTTCATTAGTATGATTCTAGCATTGTCCATCCCTGAAGCAATGGTGTGTTCCTGCAAGTCTTAGGGGTACATAAACTTGTTGAAACGAAGTTTAGTACCCCCAATGCCAATTTGTGAAAGACAAAATAAGTAAATAGTCTTTTGAAACTTTATAAATTATTTAGGGTAACCTGTTACTTTTAGCATTTTTTCTGTGCACCAAAAACTTTACTTCATTAACATTAAAACAATTTTATATGTTCGAAATGCAAGAACTTACCGACGAGTTATGAATTAACAACCATTGTCTGAAGTCCCATGCTTTACAGTCACAAATCCATGGGTTCACAGATAAAGTAATTTGGCTTAATGTTGTATTTTTCCAGTTCTCATACGGAATTTTTGTCAAATTATTTCGAGACAAATAGAGCTTCTCTATGGAAGAAGATAATTCAACTTGTATGTCTGTCAGCTTGTTACCCTCTAAGTTCAAAACTTCTAGTTCTGGATAATCGGCCGTATTAAATTCTATAGCTGTTAATTTATTTTCACTGATATCAATACTTTTTGCGTTCCTAGGGAAAACACTTGGTTTGTTGGTTAGTTCTTTATCGGAACAGTTGACATTAGTTGAAATGTTTATACCGGCAGCAACACACTTGCATTCGCAACTTTCAGGACAGTCTTCATTCCAATCTACCAACAACGTTTCGTTTAGATCTTTTATTGCAATGCCATGGAGATTGGAAGGTGAGTGACATAGTGGATTGTCTTGAAGTTTAGAATTATTGTTTTTCAGCCATTCTAACATCCAAAGCAGTCTACAGTCACAGGATAGGGGATTATCTGCAATAAATTTATATATTTTAAAGCGTTACTTTAAGTAAAGCTAAAGTGACAATAAATAACTTGGGCAAAGTTTAAAACTAAATACATTTTTCTTTCTTTAATTTAATGCCAACTTATTTTGGAAAATGTGATGCTTCCTTGGTCACAAAAATTCTTATCAAACTAAAGATGGACATTAAAATAAAATAAAAATTATTCAAACAGGATCCTGCTCCCGCACATTTTGTTGGAATGCCCGAGCTAAAAGCACTTAAGAATCGTGGGAGGTATATTTTTTCGTCTTTCTCATCAATACAAGAAGGACAGATCATCAGACTTGATTTAGCAGGTGTGAATTCAATGGATCAGATTTGAATTCAAATAAAAATTTCATTTGGTTTCTTTTGGAGACAAAAGCTTTGTGCTAAACCTCATAAGACTTTGCCAGTCCCTAAAAAACTTTTGAGCTAGAAACGCGGAGAAATACAGTAAGTTATTGGCAGAAAAAATTGTGACATGTTTACATCTCTACATTTAGGCCAACGATGATCCTCTTTTTTAAAATGTGTAGCTATGTTAGAGGAGGCAATGTTTCCATTTTTATTTTGAAAGTTTAGTTTTAATATTTAAACAAATATTGAAATTGTGTATTTTGTGAGTTCAAATTATTTCTTGTTATGCTGTAGATTTAAACAGTTAAATTGAGTCGTAAAAAATAAAATAAAAGTTTTTTTGTGATTTTAATTTATATCTATTAAAAATATTGAGGCAAAACAAACTTTCAATCAATTTTTTAAAAAAAATGAACCGTTTAATTTTAATCAATGGATTTTTCTTGCTCGTCATATTTGATCGCTGAATCTGTATCTATATCTGTATAATCTATGTATCTATGTATAATCTGTATAATATGTATAATCTGTCTGATCTATGAATCTGTATCTATAAAAAAAAAGAAAGGAAAATGATGACCAGGCTATGAATTGGACAGATAAATCACGCATTATGATGCAACTTTCTCTCATTAAGATCTGAATTACTTTGGATGCTATCAACATAAAATTAATGAAAGTAAAATGAAAGCATTGTTTGCCTCTGAATTTTTTTTTTTTTATTTTGTTTCGGATTAAAGAGTATTTACTACAAATATGTATAAATAATCTTGTCATAATCTTATTTTCATTTTGACTATTATTACAAATTAAAGGCATAAAACTAAAAGTTGCGTTTCTTTATTGTAAAAGCAATCCTGTGATATTACCCAATTACGGAGTATTTTAATTTTAAGTATATTTCAATATCATATTTTATGATAATTTTTAAACTATTTTAAAATTAGTAAAGAGTAAATAAATTTATAGTACATAATTATCTATTTAATTACACATGCTAAGTCTGTGCTTTATATTTCCAATGTAATACTAGTATATATAATTATCTATGTATTATACTGTAAGTCTATAGTGAGGAAGATCTCCGTATCTTATCTGATTCGCTTTATGATCGAGATATTGATTTCAGCCTTGTCCCGCGTGCTTCAAGAAAGGATGAAATATTCTTCTAATACTCCCTTTTTTGTTGAATGATATTAACACAAATGATTAATGAAATTATTCGTATTTATCACTGTATATTTTTTCACGAATTGTTTTTGTATATGTCTGGTTTAGTGGTTGATGGACAAGAGTTTGAGTCCTGACTTGGCAAGTAAGCAGGCCATTTTGTCCTATGAAGCAGTAAGTGTATGGGAGCATTGTATCTGTGCCTGAATCACTGACCCTTTGCTATTAAGTTCTCTACTGTCTGTCCATGGAAAGAACTCCCCACGCCATTCGTCCGGTGCAGTGGCGGTGACTAAGGTTACGAGGTTTGACTGTTTCAAGTAGGGGTGTTAGGTCGATATTTAAGACAGGTTTCGACTTGAGTCAGTCGGAGAAAGGGAATCAGGGGAAAGAGAAGCTCTCCTCTTTGAAAAGTGCTGTTTCTTGCTTCCATAGCAGACCTCAGACTTTAGGGCGAGGGGAGTTCTTTCTAAAGACAAACTATAAAGGAGTTGCACTGAAATCTGGGTCGGAGAACATAAAAATAAGGGGCCCTAGTAACTTTTTTTTTTAAAAAAAGAAGCATATTAAAATTTAAGATATCTTATTTAGCATATTAAAATGTTTCTAGCTTCCACAGGAGCAGAGCTTACCTGCAACATTACCAAAAATTTGTAGACTGTAATATAAACTACAATGATAACGAAAAGTTTAATAATAGATTTTTTAGAAAGATTTTTCAATCATGATTACATTTATTTTATTTTATACTTTTTAATTTTTGAAATTAAAAAAAAAGCCTAAACAACTCGAATTCGATGATATTTCTACCATGATTTTATGACATTTCATTGTTGAAAAACACAAAACAGGCATAGTTATTCAAAATTAGTTTGCGTCAAAAATAGCACAGTATCTCAGTAAATGAATGGACAATGTTTAAGCATTTTATTTCTAATAAATTACTATATTGCTGTTTTCGGGGTGGGGGAAGAAATTAAAATAAGGCTACAGAAATACTGGAACGGAAGATTAACTTAAATATTTTAATTAAAAAATAGCCAATTCGCGATATTTTTCCATCTAGAAGAAAATTATCAAAAACACTGCCTTATTTTCAGTTCTCGCAAATTTTCATGAGCCCAGACAATGCAGTATTGCAGTAAGCTTGCAAATATTAAAAATTAAACCACAAACGCATTTCATATTCATAAAACTGCGGCTTTTTTCCATACTGACGTTTTGCGCCATTTTCAGGACAAGCATAGACAGCGCTAGCTTTAGATAGGCTTAACTTGTCGTAACATGTCATGAGTAACTGTTGCAAACTCACAGCAGTTATGAAAATAGCATATTATTCGCAACGCAAAAAAAAAAGAAGCGTTTTTTCGTGCAATGTCAGAGACTTTGAAAAACAGCTTTATAAACAAAACAAATAACTCTGCCACGTATTTTGTAAAGATCAAACTTATTCTTACCTTCAAGCCACAACTTTTGGAAAGAGTGAGATTTGAGCTTAACTGTAGGTAAAGAACCATTCATCAGAGTTGTCAAATTATTTCTGGCCAAATTCAGAGCAGTCAAATTGTAGATGTCCAAAAATGCATCCGTTACAGACATAATATTGTTGCCATCCAAATATACTTTTTTTAAATTTCTAAGACCTTTAAATTCGTTTTCCAGTGACTGAAGTGAGGAAGAAGTCATTCTAAGGTAACTCAAACTACTTAAACTTGTCAAAAACTGGTTCAAAGTTTTTATCTTAGTAAATGACAAATCAAGTGACTGGAGTTTTTGTTGTCTTTCAAAACTTCCCATTTTAACATCAGATATTGGATTTCTAGACAAATTCAGATATTTTATGGATGTTAAATTCATAAAATCAATCTCACTGATACCAGCTACCTGATTTCCACTTAAATTCAAATAAAGAATACGTTGGTAATGGCTATCAATTTTAATAGATGAAATTTCATTTTCATTGAGTGCGATGGACTCTAAATTAGGTAGCTCAGTAGGGGTGGTAAAGATTAAAAGATTATCCATTGATTTGAAATTGTTGCTACTTAATACAATTTTTCTTATATATTTTGAGCCAGCAAAAAAATCCTTTGGAATATTCGACAAATTATTTCCATTTAAATGCAAATCGTGTAAATAATTTAAGTTTTTAATTAAATCAGGATCCAAACTCATAAATTGGTTATTGCTGAGACCTAATGTCATAAGTTTCTTCTGGGAATTTTGGAAGGTGGAATTACTCAGGTTCAAATTAGGATTTCCACCAAGATCAAGCCATTTCAAAGCATATAATTCTCTATTAAACACATTATCCACATCACTCAGGTTGTTTCCGTAAAGGTTAAGTGTCTGAAAAATAAAATAAAAAATTATATTCCATCATCTGTAGCAACTAATTTATGTAAACTGGAGCTTTGTGAGTAAATAATGACAATTACAGATACGAAATTTAGTTTAAAGATAAATGGGAACACTGAATTCGCTATACTTCTTCTCGAAGCCTGACGGCAAGGGGACTCTAACCCATGATTCGTCTACCACTGAGGATATTTCACGTCTGCACTGTGATTGGTGCAAGCCGGATGTGGAATTCGTATCGACTGGGATTCGAACCCGGTTCGCCACATTGGAAGGAGAACGTTCTATCCCCAGAGCCATCGCTGCTCAAAATGCGACTTTTGTAACAAAATGAATTTTAAAATTACTATTTTTGAAGAACAATTCTTCCTAAAATTTTATTAAACAAATCTTGAGTATTTTATCTGGCATATGTTTCTCTTTGGAAATTGATCTTCTTTAACTAAACATGAATAGGTTAGTTTTTGTTACATTGAGTACAAACTAACTAATTCACACTCAGAAAAAATCGGCTTACCTTTGAACCGTCATGTCGNCGAACCCGGTTCGTCAGATTGGAAGGCGAGCGCTCTATACCCTGAGCCATCGCTGCTCAAAATGCGACTTTTGTAACAAAATGAATTTTAAAATTACTATTTTTGAAGAACAATTCTTCCTAAAATTTTATTAAACAAATCTCGAGTATTTAATCTGACATATGTTTCTCTTTGGGAATTGATCTTCTTTAAGTAAACATGAATAGGTTAGTTTTTGTTACATTGAGAACAAACTAACTAATTCACACTCAGAAAAAATCAGTTGAACCATCATGTCGGTACCTTGAATTACAGGGCAAAATTAGCGGTCGCCATCGGTCTTAGAGGACTAAATATCTTGGCGACTAAAATTGTCTACCAGTTGCCACTTGATCGCTACTAATAATATATTTTCGTCGAAAATGAAACCCCATGTGCATTTCTCTTATTATTATTTTAAATTAATATGGAATTGTTATGAATATTTTATAATATTCTGAAACTACTTTATTTTATGCTTGTTTTCTTAAAATTTTTCTTCATTTTAGGAGAGAATCTTGTAATGCTTGCCATATTTCGAGAAAGGCTTCAAGAGACAATGCCTGGTATCATTAATATCAATTTTTTTTAATCGCTTAAAATTTTCGATTTTTGAAAAATTGGCCAGATGTTTTAAGAACTGCCACTGTTAAAAATGTTATAACTATCACTGGTTAGTCCTATAATTTTGCTATATGCCTTGAAAAATAATATAGTTCAAATTTACTGAAAATTTAATAAGGTGTTGAATTGAATCATATATCCGTTAAAATTGAATGATAATATCGTATGATCATGTTTAAGAAATGCGGTAATATGGTTCCATTTATCACAATATTAAGGTTGCAGTTGAACTGTATTATCCAAAAATTTTCGATTCATATATTCAATTACTCCAAAATTTCGATCGTAGCATGCATTTCGAGAGAAAATGGCTGGTAGAGTAGGTGTTGATTTTCAGTTTATAAAATTATGTTAATATTATAAAAAGCATATTTAATATTTTCCCCTCCTTGCACACCCCTCTGAGTTCCGACCTTTTGAAATTGGTCAGAAGAATTTCGAATCACCCAGTACAGTCTTACAATTAAACAGCTTATGAATGAGATTTGAAATTGCCTTACCTCTAGATTTAAGTTGTTAAGTATTCTATCCACAGTCAGAAGCCGATTGTAGGCTAGATTCAATCTTTTTAGGTTGAATGCTTGCCGGAATACTGAGACGTTCAGAATTTCCAAGGAATTGTGCGACAAATCCAGATTTGTCATCGCGAATGCATTCGCGAAAGCATCTGCTGCAATGTAACTTATGTTGTTATTACTGAACATAAAATCAGCAGTTGTCGTCATAGCATGCAACTCATCATGGATGCCTTCTAAGACGCCATTACTCATTTCTAAAACTCTGAAATCGGACAAAGCTGCTCCTTTTGGAATGGTCGAGAACATTGTACCATTCAAACTAACGATTTCTAAATTTTTGATGAAAGCTAAAGCATCATCAGCTATATTTCCTAGAGGACCTGATATTTCCAAGATATCAATGGACTGGTTTGCAAAGCTCTTGCTCTTGAGATATTTCAAGTATTGTCCAGATAGGCTTAAAGTGTGAACACGAGGATAATTCTTTAACACGTTGTTTATTGGTTGAACGTCACCAACATACTTGCATATTATTGTAATGCCAGTTTTGTAAGTATAACAATAACATCTTGGTTCTGTGAGGCATAAGTGAGATTGGCTAGTACTTGAAATAAATAGAAGAACTATTACAGTTAACAGAATTCTAGAAATTAATCCTTCCATATTGCAGCGAACTTTCGAATTCGTTATTTTTTAGTAACAGAAAGGGCACAAATACATACAATTTGACAATAAATCATCTGTACTAAGATATTTAAATGAATATGTTTTCAAGTTTTGTCATTATTACATATGATTTAATTTCTATTTCTAAATCAGAGACTTTATTTTATATACAAAAAATAGCAGCCAAAAGGGAGGAGATTATTTTTAGACTGGTGTAATTATATTAGCACTGCATTTGATATTGGCACTTAATAATTTTAAATAATTTCATGCATTATCTAACAAAAAGTTATCAGCTTCAAAATATGCATGGAGATATATTTTTTCAGAAATATTATTTCCTTTAGCAAACAACAATGATTCTTTTCTGATTTAAAAACATGCCACTTTGGTAAATAAAGTACTCACCGCTAAAAAACGCTAGCTTACTTCAGACATTTTCTTCTCACCATTTTTTTTTTAATATATATATCTTTGATTTTAGAACATTTTTAAAAACAAATTTCTTCTTTCTATTACTTAATGGCTAAGATAGTTACATTTTATCTCGTTTTTTCTTTTAAAATCGACGCTCGTATACAAAACAACAACATATAATTTAATCTATACTTCTGGTAAGATGCTGCTTTCTTGTAAAATGTTAGTTCTATTTGCCGCACCTTTTTCGCAAAACGAAACTTTAGACATAAGATAAGATATTTATATCAGAAATGTATGTATTTATTAATATGTTGAACGGAAACATTTCTTAGATGTACTGAAGGGTTTTCTTTTTTATCTCTCTTTCGTTTAACTCTTGCAAGCTTTATCTAAGTTACTTTCGCCTTATGCTTAGGGTTTAATCAGTTTTAAGATATTTTTTATTTTATGCCAGCGGTAAAGTATGCGTTCGTTTTAACGATNTTTTTTTTTTTTTTTTTGTTAGCTTCTCGTTAATTGGATATGATAAGCTCACCGGATATAAAATTAGTCACCCTCAGAAAAACTTCGAAAAGCATAGTTTAATTTTGTTTCGCTTATGATTATTTTTTGGTATTTTTCTTATGAGGAATTTGGCCCGCTAAGTTGACCAAAACCAGCAGGTTTATTTTAATATTATTGATCATCAGGTGTAACCTTTCAGTCAACATCCTCATGATTTGAGTATGCTGTTGGTGTGTGGTGTCAATACCCCTTTCCTTCAAGAGGACAGCAACAAAGCTCTTATGGCTGGAAGAGTAAAGAGATTTAGTGGCAGAGAAAAAGAAGAGTAGAGAGATCTGAGTTCAAAGCGCATGCGCGAATATTTTCCAGCAAATTGCAAACAATTAGAAAATAAGGTTAAAATTACGGATAACATAATACAGACGCTTTGCTAATTCTCTATTATGTGATTGGATCTATGAACAATCACTAACGCTATTACATCTCGATTGGTTTGTAAAATCACATAATTTGAGTTGAATCTCATAAGGAATCTGTGAGACATGTTGGAACAGCCTATAAGCCAACATTTGGTTAAATCAAATACTCAACAAGAATGCTTAATGTGGCTGCGACGCAACTGCAAAACGTCGTGGATTTGCTTCCTATGAATGGAGGAAGATGTAAATTCGAGCAGCGAAGTTAAACGGTAATGAAGGATACTTTTTCAGATATCCCTAAGGATGACAAATGTTTATACTTTTTAAAGTTTTTATTAAAAAAATGATGTTTTTGTCTACAGTGGGCCTGCGGTATGGGGTTTGTAAATAATAAAATCGGTTATTTAACTTTTTGTTACAATAAAGCTAGTAAAAACAAAATGGAACTAATTTAAGAAAAATTAAATTTTTTATAAAATTAAACTAAAATTAAAATTTGTTAAAGCATTAATTTTTCCTAAATTTTTTACTCTGCAAAATTTAATAACATTCTCATAAAACGTGGAAAAAATTAGTAAATAAATTTATTACTTCACCAAGTTTAACTTTTTGAATAAATAAATGCTTTTTTTTTTTATACTAACCTCCATTTTTATTAAAGAGAACTTAATGTGGATATCCCCACAGCCTAGCGTCCAAAGCAACTAAAATCTGCCTCTCAGGAGATAATTGCTCATTCAAACTTATAATAGATTAAATTTAAAAAAATGTAAATCAAAAGTGAATCTTAAAATATGTGATAAAATATTTAATCCCACATAATTCATCTCACATTTAAACAATGAATAAAAATAGTCCAGAGTTAAAGAGTCAAACACAAATAAAATTAAATTTTTTAAGATAAAAACCTTATATTATAATTTACTTTTAACAATCTAGTATGGGTTATCATTTACCTGAATATGAAAGTGCAGTTTAGTAAATCAGCTAAAATTTACAAAGACATTTTGACTAATAAAAACAGACTTATTTTAACTATCCATATTATTTCCCCTCTATCCAACTAAATAAGAATGTTGATATTCATAAGTATTAAGTTCAAAACTCATAATTTTATAATATTAATTATCATTAAACATTAATATCGATCAAAAGATCGATTTCCTTCTGAATACAGAGCAAGGAGAATAGGGAACTTGTCCCTAGAATTGGGAAAAATGTAATTGATTACAGTAATCAATTACTTTGTAATCAAGATAACATTAAATGATTATTTTGTCATAAAATTGCAATTGTAATCAATCTTAGTTGTAATCGCAATTTTATGTAATCATAAATCAATATTATACTTGTATCGTTGTTCATATCCGGTTGTAGTTTTAATTGAGATCTTAAATTGTGATTGCTTTTAATCATTAATAAATTTACAATCGTTAATTATTATTGCTTGTAGACATTTATAATGAAGTTAATTATGATTGCATTCTGCCTAAGTGTATTCTCTGTATCCTTTACCTGAGAAACTCTTATCGTTTGAGTAAATGAAAGAAATTAGGAAACTATTTTCGACTATCAGCATTCGCAAAAATGATTTAAATGAATGCTTTTTTTTTGCGATGAGATTGTCCTCAAACCCTAAAAGAGATATCCAAAAGAGGTTGAGGTATGTAGCTATGTAGAGTTAATAACAACGTGAATAATGCAGAAATAAACGCTCAGAAATGGACATACTAAAGTTTAGGTTTTATAAATAAAACCTCCATTACACCAGTACATTACCGGAGTCAAGTATCACTGGACTGGCAACGATCAAGAAGGGAGTGGATGACCACTTTGATCAGATTGTGAAGGAACCGAATGTGTGCGGCATCGGTCCTCGTTAACCTGTTCTATCTTAAAGTGCTCAACTTCACGTAAAGCCTGTCGGGCTAACAAAGTTGAGGAGCCATCAAATCATCCTCAGGGATGTTTCCCAGACCGCCGCCAACAGTCCATGTTGTAGCTCTGGTGCGACGTAAATAAAGTACTGCTACTACAAACCAGAACCTTCCTCAGTATCTATTTAAACAATGATGAATTTGTGTTCTTATTTTTAGAATCGAAATTATAGTATGTCCATTTCTTTTTGAGCTTTACTCTTGTTGTTTTTGCTTCATTCTGAGAGAGGTATTTTTAATAAAATCATATTCATGGGCCAGTAGTTTGAAATAGAATTTTTTTTTGTAGTGGACTTTAATGCCATTAAATTGCAAAACAATTCCGTCAAAAATAATGGATTTCTTGAACCTGTCGGCTATTCGCTTTAAAGCACTTGTAACATAAAAGCCATAAACCTGCGATCTAAGTCTCTGGGCAACCCCGGACAAAAAAAGATGGAAACAGAGGTCTTGTATGATAAAAAAAAATTATGCGCGTTGCTGTTCTTTCCTCTTGATGAGGCCCTGATTATCGCCTAGGCCAAATACGCATGGGCCATGGGCCCACAATTTCTGAGGGCCTCAAAAATTAGTAAAAAGTTAATGAAAGGTGGGCTAGCTTTGTGTTGGTATAAGTATTAAATAAAAAAATAATCCCGCTAATCAGCGGTTTTTAGCAAAAATCAATGATTTCAATTGTTTGTGGCCACAAAACTACTTTTATTTTGACATAACATTATTTTGTTGTTTTATATTTTGCTCTAATTTATAGATACGTAAACTGTATCCCAGAAAAATAATCTTCAATTGTCTGCTTTCAAACTTTCTTAGAATGTTTCTCTTGAATCATGCAGTTCAATAGATTCTTTTCCATTGTTAGGACTACTCTTTAGTAATTTAATTTCAAAATATTTTGTAAGGGGCCCGGAAAATTTGGTGGACTTTGGGCCTGAATTTGTCTTGATCAGTCCCTGCTCTTGATATTAAAAAATAGATACGTATTTAAAACAAATTTTATAAATCTAGTGAACAATAATTTTACAATTAATGAGAAGGTTAAAATCTAAGAATATATATACAATTAACACAGCCAGTAAAATTACAATCGAATCACAAGATATAAATAGTTGCTATCCATATTTTAAAAAAGATCCATTCGTCAGAGCACGTAGTATCTTCGGCCTTTCTTGAGCTTTAATTGGAATTTTGATGTCTTCATGCTTCTGACAAGTTGAATTGATGTATTCAGTCTGAAGAGAGTGATGCAAATATTTAAACAATGAAATAAACAATACATAATAATATTTCCACTTTTTAGGAGCATCTTAATTGATAATTTTAAGTTGGCTGTTTGACTTGTGTATTTAAGAGAAGCCTCTAATGTCTATTCTTTGCACCCATGTCAATATTGAAATAATAAGGGGCGAAAATTAATATTTAAGCGAGAAAAAAAAACAAAGATGTCAAAATGAACCACTAGTGAAGAAGGCGGCACTGAAAGCTCAAAACCTAGCTTTATTTCTCGAGGAAATTGAAAAGAGTTGAAAAATAATTTTTAGAAACACCTCTAGGTTTCTTCTCGAAATCTCACTGGTTTCGATGTTTTTTCTACTCGTTTTTCTAACAAGAAATTCTAAAATTTCGATACCGTTTTTGTTTCTTCCTTTGCTCTTAAATATTATTTCGCTATCCCTGTAAGAGTATTTTTTCCTTACATTTTTGGAAAGAATTCTAAACGTGCATATCTATCTATCTATACAAGGGAATTAAGAATTGGGAGAATTATTCTAAGAATTGGAACTGAACATTCTAAGAATTAGGCTCATAAATAGCTGTTTTGACAACCAAATCGGGGTGCTCTGCAAGTTAGTTGCCAATCCAATACGCTAATATAGGGCAACTGTTTGGCTTCTTGAATGTATTTTCAGACAGTAGACATAAAATCACATTAAATTAAGATAATTCAGATTTATAAAAGAACTGGTATAAAAGCACATGGACAGAGAGTTCATAATTATGGAGCCATAATTAAGGTGGTCCATAATTAATAGGGAAGCTCTGCAAGCTGCGGGCAAGGATTTTTGGTGCCATGGGTTGGTATGCAATTTTCAATCCCTTTAGTTGACCCTACCTATCTTTCAAGTTTGTAACAGCTGTGCTGAATTGGATTCTTGTAATTCGAGAAGAAGTGGAGTGGTTATGCCTAACCATGTGATTCAAATCATATTTAAGTAGCGTGTGCGTCGAACCTGATTTTCTTCTGAATCGACAAATGCCACAATTTACCTACGATGACGTTACTTGCAGGCATCCGATTACACAGCACATCTTGATTTTACTTCCTCGCAGGAACCGATCAAGACAAATTGAGACCCAATGCCCACCACATTTTCCGGGCCCCTTACAAAATATTTTGAAATTAAATTACTGAAGAGTAGTCCTAGCAGTTAAAAAGAATCTATTGAACTGCATGATTCAAGAGACTAATTCTAAGACATTTTGAAAGCAGACAATTAAATATTATTTTTCTAAGATAAAGTTTATGTATCTATAAATTAAAGTAAAATATAAAGCAATAAAACGATGTTATGTCAAAATAAAAGTAGTTGGGTGACACAAACAATTAAAATCAGTGATTTTTGCCAAAAGTCTGACTATTTAACTGAATTATTTTTTATTGTAAGCTGTGATTATTTTTTATTTAGTACTTAAACCAACCCAAAACTAGCCCATCTTTCATTATACTTTTTACTAATTTTTGAGGCCCCTCAGAAACCGTGGGCCCTAGGCCCATGCCTATTGGGCCTAGGCGATAATCAGGCCCTGCTTCCTCGTGTACCGACCGTGATCGATGCATCATGATTTAAATGTCTTCATAGAATCTTAACGTTTAAAAAAAAAAGCCTAAATTAGATAAGTTTGGTCTTAATAAGTAATTTAGTGTTCGGCGAAAAGGAAAAGATGTTAAATAGGCTGTCCTACTGTTAATTAGCTAAAATTAGAGTTCCACTATATAACTTTGGTTAGATGTTAGGAGCTCTAGTTTCGCATGTTTATGATAAAAAAAAATATTAAGAAGAAAATGGAATTTGATGAAAATTTACAAAACAAGCAATCAGTTATAATACGCTGGTAAATCATTTTATTGGATGGTCGAAGGATGAAGCCCACGACAGTAATAGCCACTTTTACTTCAACTTTGATGTCGTAAGTTTTGTTATTTCTACAACTGGGTACTTGCAACTCGAAAAGTGAAGTGATTATGCCTAACCATGAGATTTAAATCAGATATAATTGGATACTTGCAAGTGATGCCAACTGTTAAACCTGATTTACCTACGATGACGTCACTTGCAGGTATCTAGTTGTCGTGCGTACCCCTTCCACTTCATGGCTAGATTAATTCATAATGAAAATAGTACAACTACAATGCTTCACTTTGATTTGGAGATCAAGATTTGAGTTGAACTTTTATACTTGTCAGAAAATTATGATGCATATAAATAGCAACTAAAAATAATTAGACCTAAATTTATAACTTTCGCTTAGGACCATAATAATATAATTACCTCATCACTTCCTTCTTTGTGTAATACCTGCGATACACATTCAAGACCTTCCAAGCAAGGACAAGACATCAAATACATATCTCCTATGTGAGATTTAGCGTTCTCGGGTTGGCATGAACATCCTGAAATATTTATTTTTACTACAACAATTACTATTAAACAAATATGTCATTGCCAGTAAGTGGCGTGCAGGGAGGAAGCATAGGGGCCCATCAAATCGACAAAAACGAATAATACTAAAATTTTAAATTTGTTATTAATTGTATTATTTATGACTTGATATAATTTACAAAAAAAATTTTTTTTCCCGCTGTTGATAATGACAAAGGACATAGGTCATACAGGCACCTGAAGGGCAGATTTGTTGGCCACTCTTTCAGGAGCACCATATTAGGTGGGCCAACGTTTCTCTCACAGTAAGGACAGATAGTACACAGAAGGAAAGAACATGCATGCCTTGCCCGGGATTCGAACCGAGAATCTTTCTGATGCAAGGGCAGTTCCCTAACCCCTGCACAGGCCGGTCGGCTATTTACAAAGAAAGTTAAATTTGTAAATTTATGACATTAAAATGTTGAAGAGATCGATCACCTATGAAATGTAAATATTCTTTAAATTTGAGAGAAAAAAAGAATATTATGTTGGATATAGTTACTTTTTCCTATAGAACAATTCCAGCTTTAATTGACATTAAAAAATGAATTTAAAATTTCATAAATATGCAATTTTCCATCGTTTTTTCAATTGAAAAGGATATTTTGCTGATTACACTCCTCTTTTGAGGGGCATCTAATGTCTATCTACCTAAAGAACTCCCTTCGTCAATTGTGCAGTCGGTGTTTATGGCTACGAGGTGTGGGGTAGGCATTTAGGACAGGTTTTAAGTCAGGTGAGTGAGAGAAGTATTAAAAGCTAAGATAAGCGTTTTTTTTTTCTTGTTTCCAGTGCAGAAAACGTTCCAGACTGTATCGGGAGGAGTTTTTAGGTTAGATCAGCGCCTTTGCACTCCATCGTTGCTTGCAGAGAATAGTTAGAAATTAAGATTGATCGAAAGTAAATAAAAAACATTCACTGCAAAATTTATTGAAGAAGCTTCCAATTTGATATAAATTTTCTTAAAGGATTTGTTTTGATAAAATTATTCATAAGTTTTTCTGATTGCTAATTGAAAACGTGAGCTGAGATTTCAAGCCATTACCTTCACATCCCATAGATCTGCAACTTCCTACCATAGAAGTTAGTGTCATGCAGCACTCATTTGAATGGCAGTGATCGGATTTTTGACATGATTTTCCACTCACCGCTAACAGATGCACCTGGAATATAAATAAACTGTAATTGTGCAACAAATTGGTTCCAACGTGGAAACCCGTAATAAGAAAAAGGAACACTAGTGTTTACGGGAAATTTTGTCAAACAATTCACTGTTTGATGACAAATCTATTGAATTCTATCCCATTGTTGTGCCACTAAGAAGTGTGTTGAAATGTTTTTATGTCCCGATCATTAAGACACGGTTCCCAGTAGATCACCGAAGTCAAGCATCACTGACCGTAGTCAGTGATGCTTGACGGGTGGGTGACCACTTGGATCAGCCTGCGTAGGGACCGAGGGCGTTCGGTATTGGTCCTCGTTAAACTGTTCTACCGTAAAGTGCTCGACTTCATGTGCAGGTCGTTGGGCTACCGAAGCTGGGGTGCCATGCCCTCTGCAGAGGATCAAAAATGTGATGGCATGTCTTCGGATTATCCTCAGGGATGTTTCCCAGACCGTCGCCAATAGCCCATTGTGCAGCTCTAGTGCGACGTAAATGAACTACAACAACAAAATGTTTTTCTTTTTTTTTTCTTTGTCTATTACAGAATTCGTTTGACTGTTGCTAAACAATGGATTTGTGTGAGAAAAAATTTCCTACTAAACACTACTAGACATTTCCTTGTGAGTCTATAGGTTTTTATTAAAAGCCAATTTTCGGCATCGGAGTATATAAGAGCAAATCTTTCGAATGCTGCCGTGTTTTCTTCAATAGTAGCCGTAGAAACCGCTCTAATATTACGTAAGCACATAAGAAAATGAGGGAGTTTGTGATTTGCTTATTTTATGCATAAGACTCTAAAATCCCTGTATTTTAAATTTATTTAATGCAAATAAAAAATGAATAAATTCCAATTAATTTTTCGAAAATCGAACTTAGAAAATCAAACCTTAATGAGAAGTGCATAGATAGCATGTAACCCTTCGAAACTGAATAGTTTTAAATAACGAACACACATTTTATTTATTTATTTTAAATTGATTGAAATAGAATTCACCGTGGTAAAATAAGAGGCGCAAGCTAAAAAAAAAAGAAAAGAAAAAAAAAAAAAAAAAAAAAAAAAAAAAAAAAAAAAAAAAAACGCAGCATATTTTTTGGTTAGGTTTATGGTTAATAATTTTTCCAAATAAAAAGAAGATACGCTAGCATTAGTTTAGAAAGATAAAGCTAGCATTAATTTTAAATTTGATGAATATTACTTGAAAATCATTTCCTTTAAGATACAGGATTGTTTAAGTGTTGTTTCGACTGTAAAAGAAGGAAATAAAATAAAAAATACAGAAAAGAAAACGAAACACTAAATAGCCGTGAAAGAAAGAAAATAAAACATAACAAAATAATGAAATCCGTAAAGATTAATTTTAAGAAAAATGAAGAAGAATAAAGTAAATTTGCTATTCATATTTTGACAATATAAAATTACTTTTTGACAACGCAATTGTAAGGGAATAGAGAAAAATGACCTCAGTTTAAAATTTCAACGCATTATTTTTTAAATAAGCACAATTTTTATTTCTTAACCAAATTCGTATTGAAGCATTGTATACATAAAATGTTAAAAGGTTACTTTTACAGTGTGTCCAACTTAAAGCCATCTTGATTTTGCACCATAACTGGACGCAAAGAAAACCAATGAGAGCCAGACTTGTATATTAAGAAAGTTTATGAATAAACACATTATTACAAGCAGTAACTCACTTCCTGCACCGCCTCCTATGGTATATAAGGTCAACCATGATCTTGGTTAAATGAGACACTCAAAATAATTGGGCTGTATTTGTGTATTTCAGTTAATTAATTCATTTAATTATTGTTTTATTTATTCATTTTTTTTAAAGATAAATACCATTTTTATTAATGCAAAATAAAATAAAAATGGCTACAAAAATTTACTTTGAATAATCTTATTCTATTTCTTTTTTTTTTTCACTTACAGGATTTTTAAAATGTATAGAAGGGGTCAAATACCTCGAGAAAATCTAAACCTAAAATCCAGGAACAAAAATCTAAAAATATGAACAAAATATTTTGAAAAGATGCATTCTATAATACCAAACTTGACCTCTCCCCCTAAAATTTCCGAATAAGGCTATACTCCCTCCTGTTTGACATTGTTTGAGCTATCAAAACTTAATTTTGTTACATTTATCTCGGTTCACAAATGTGGACCTTCGCTTCTAAAAACACGCTATAAGGAAGTTTATAGTTTTACCTTCACTGAAACATTCGTGGATTTAAACTTTTTGGGGATACGGCAATCGATGCAGAAAATGTAAGTTATTTGGTTAGAAATTCACATAAACAGAAGTGATTTTCGGAAAATGACGCTAAATCCTCATGCGCGAAAATGTAACTAGATTTAAATATTATATAATTCAGTTATTCTGAAAATAATTTATTTTTCTTTTGACTTAGTAGTTCTGTGATATGAAACTTTTAAATTTGTATTTACTTAATACATAGTTAAAAAAAAAAAATACTGTCAAGAACATGCAGGTCCTTGACAGTATTTTTTGGTACGTATGGTGAAATTTATGATAACGTAGTACTCAAGAGAAATCTCATAGTATTATAAAGTATTCAATTTTATATCTATTTAATAATATTTTTTGTGTACCTTAATTAATTGTTTTATATTAAGATACATACATACATTTAATAAGTTTAACTTTTTGTGGGTTTTTTTTTCTTCATAATTTTGAAATTTTACCTCCAAGAATTATATATTTTTTCATAGCTAATAGAAGATTCTTTTCAATAATTATTTATTTTGGGTCATTCACAAAATTAAAATAGTTTTAAAACTGAGATTTTAATCAGTAATGCATTGGTATTGCATCTCATTGTAAAAAAAAAATTTCGTATTTTTAATTTTTTTTCTTCTAAATACTTATTAAATCTATTCATCATTGTATTTAAATAGACCATAATATAACATTACGCATGTTTGTTCCTACTTTAGTTGCAATTTAACATTTGTTGTTGTTGTCGTCGTCGGCCGTTAAGGCAGAGGGGGTGCGATTGTTCTTGTTTATTAGTGGCGTCATCTATGGCCAAAAAATTAAATATTTGAAATATTTACATTATTTTACTTCGTTAAAACATGAGGTCGTTTTTGTTTATCTTATTATCACTTATGGCAGTAAAAGAGAAATTCGGAACAGTAAAATATTTTTTTCCATATTTCTTTATACTTCAGTAGTGAAGAGGTTAAATTACAGGCTACTAAAGAAGGATGGTTATCATGTTACTCGACTTCAATTTTTCATTGCTTCTTAGAATATTGAATATTTGTTTTTGCTTATAAAGAAATAGATAAAACAAAAGCATGAATCACTGCTAGTTTCTTTATTTATTTTGGCTCAGGTTAAATAGATTAAAAGGCAAATGAAAATTTAGAGTTTTGCTTCATATTATGTCATTCACATTCAAAAAGAATTTTTCTTATATTATCCTTAGTTTTGAAGCTTAATACTGTACTTTCTTGATTTTTCATTTATTTATTTTTCTATAGCTATGTTGCACTAGATTCAAATTATAAAAAAATAATTTTTTATTTAAACGTTCATACCTTATACAAATACAATTTAGCACCGTTTGTGCGGTGAATATTTTTTTTCTGTTATTCTTATACTTTAAAATTGATATTTAATATTGTTTATTAAATCGTAAAATTTTATCTGGTGGACTTAAAATAAGGTAAATTTCGAAACCTAAAACAGTAATTAAGTGACACATACTTTTAAATGTTTAGTACTTAAAAGCATTTAGAAAGAATGGTGCTTCTTATTAGTCCCGTAAATGTCTAATACACGACCACTAGGTCTCACAAATCAACTCCTTTCCTTGGAACTAATATAAGACAACGGTTTTAAGTTTTAAAATTTTACTTTTAAGACTTTCAATGTGTTCTTCATTTTATCTAAACACAAATAAACAATATAAAAACCAAGTTATTATTATTTTTTAACACAGATTTGGCAGTTATAAAGTAACAGTGAAAGTTAAAATTTTTGTCTCGTATTTGCTCCGTATTGGGCAGGTAAATTGATGCTATAAATATTTACCTCAGAAAACAGAAATATGTAAATTGCTTAATAATAATAACAAATATTTAAAGGATAAAATCGCTTCGTAAAGTAATTTTTCTCAATATAAGGTATAATTTTTTTTTTAAAAAAAGAAGGGTAAATAAAAATAACTACAAGAAGGGAAAAAATTCAACATTACCGAAATATAGTTATTTATTATATACTTACGAGATACGAAATATAGTTATTTATTATATACTTACGAGAGTGGTGAGGCAGATAATAAACAAACAATATTTCATTAGAATATAAGTTATGCTTCCCCAAATTTATTCGCGACCTTGATATCTGACTGGCACAAGCATAATTTGGCGCCGAAAGAGAATAACACTATCACAGACACAATAGATAACAATGATAAGAATAATATTGTTCTTCACTAATATAATCGAATGATATGATGTGGGTTATTTTTCTTTGACGCAGACAAAAAAAATAATTTTCAGTCCCTTTTGAGCTTTTAATATTTACTAAAGACCATTTACCACAAACCACAGGAATTTACACAAAAGAATTTTAATCCGGACTACTACTTAGTTGTTTCCATTCTTAGAAGACAAAGAAAGTTACAAACTAGTTTTTTTTTCACTCTATTGTAAAATCTAATCAACTTTCACTTCCACTTTGAACGATATGCAATTTACTAACGAGTTACAATTGCACTAATATATGTAATGATTGCATGAAGTTCATACTCTCAAAAGAAACATGTTTTATCGAATTTAAAAATAATTACAGAATTATAAATAATTGCAAACTTCTGTTAATCGAATGATATGATTTGGTTCATCTTTCTTTGAGGCAGATAAATAAAATAAAAAAAAACTCAGTCCCCATAAACTTTTAACACTTACTAAAGAGTATTTACCAAAAACTACAAGAATTTCTAAGCGAATTTTACCCTGTGCTAAATTGTTTTTTAAATTCCTTTAAAATGAAGAAGGTTACAAACGATTTTTTTAAAATGTAAAATCTGATTAACTTTTACTTCCACTTTGAAGTTGCAGCTGCACAAAAATATGTAATGCATAGAAGTTTATGTTCAAAAAAAGGAACTTGCTATATCTAATTAAAAAGTAATTACGGAATCATTAATAAGTGCAAGCAGGGATTTTGTCAAAAAAAGTTAATAGAACAAAAATTCAATTGAAAACATAAACTTTTACATTCTCTTAAAAATAAATAAATAAATGTTAGAAAAAGAGGTAATGAGAATATTAGGGGTACATCCAACTAGTCCGCATTTTAAAAGTTGGAAAATCCAATATTTGTATATTAATTTTTCTTTATTTTTGTAACTTTTGAAAAGGATAGTGATAAATTCATTAACATCTTTTTAGAGCAGAAAAGTTGACTCGCTAGCAGTTAGATTTGTCTGTGACTTTTTATTTTTCAAACTAATTTTAATTTTTTCTTCTTCATATGTTCGACTTTATTTGTCTTAAATTTATGATTACAGTTAAATCAGAGCTGTAGTTAGTTACTAAGTAACAGTTGTACGTTGTATAAACAGAGTTATAGATAGTTACTAATTAACAGTGTACACTGTGTGATGCTTTTCAAATTCTTTACAAAAAAGTTTTAAAAAAAAATTTTTAAAAAAAGAAGAAAAACTGTTAAATGCTAGATTTTAAGCAACCAAAGTGCTCATTCAGAATTTTATGCACAAAAACTAGGAGGTAAAAAAAAACTATCTTCCTGAGTTTCTTCTAACCAACTAAATTATTGGAGTTAGGTTTTCCAACGTGTACATTTCCTATTTATGAATTCTAATTCATTAAACGAAAAAGAGAGGAAAAAGAAATTGTAATTCTCTCTCTCTTTATATATAGAAATTACATGAAACTAATATTAAACACTGGAAAAAATATAATTACTGTCCAGGATTATTATTTTTTTACTACTAAATTTTTAATAGTTATAGCTCTTTTTTCCCCTTAATTAATTCAATTGAGAACCATTCTTTGCATTGCAAAAATCTAGTGCATCCAATAGATAAAAAATGACCAGATTGACTATGTGACTTTTATTTCAATTGAATACGTTTATAACTTAATGTGTACCTTTCTTAAGGGAGGGACACAAAAAATCAATTTGGTTTTCGAGGAACACGATAAATTCAATTCTTTTTTCTTATTATTACTAATTAAAATTTTTTTTTTATTTAAAACTATTAATGTGTCTAAAACAGTAGAACGCATAATAATTTCGAAGTAAAACAATTGCTTTTATGAATCTTTTTTTATAAAAATTATTGAAGCAAGTTTTAAACCTGTGAAAAAGTAATTATATCATTATTATAATTACTTGCTTACACCCTTCCCTTTAATAAATAAACTCTGATAACAAAATCATTAACTACATGCTTTGATCATATTTTAGTGTAGAAAAAACTTTTTAAAAAATAGGAAAAAGCAAAAGATTTAAATTTTTGACTCTCAAATTATGGCTACTGCATTTTGAAATTTTAATATTATAATTTCAATGTTGCTTTTTTTAAAATTATTTTATTTTATAACCGCCATTGAAAAGCTGACCCAATTTGTTTGGGCTCACAACTATTAATATTCAACTAAGTAGCCTTGTAGTTTTGAAACCGATCCAGAAGACAAGAGAACTCCTGGATTAAGTATCGGAGGTAATTTGCCTTCGTGGCGGACTTTTTGATGAAACTAACCCTCATTTGCATTACATGGAGAGGAATACCACAAGAACCTCTCACGGTTAGCCTAACGGCAAGGGGAGTCTAACCCATGATCCGTCTACCACTGAGGATATTTCACGTTAACACTGTGGTCAGTGCAAGCCGGATGCGGAATTTGTAACGACTGGGATTCGAACCTGGTTCACCTCATTGGAAAGCGAACACTCTATCCCCTGAGCCATCGCTGCTCTTTTTAAATTATGGAAATTAATTTGAAAATAAAATATAAATTTATTTGCGCAAGTTATGTTGTTTTTCATATTGATTTGCTAGAAAATTGGGGGTCGCACATTGACCGTTCGAGGGCCAAATCCAGCTCCCGGGCTACAGCTTGTGCATGGCCACTCTAAAAGATATTATTATTTTGCTGTTTTCACAAATACACAATCTCTCTTTCTTTTTTGTTTTCTCAAGAAAACAAAGAATGTCTAAATCTTGGTTCCACAGTATTTTTATATTTGTTTATTTTTTATTTATTTATTTTTTTTTTTTGTAGCAAATTTGTAGCAGTTTCCTCCCCTCTTGAATTTACGTTGAAATTGAAAAAAAAAAAAAAAAACATGGTTATGCGCCAGGAACCTTTTTGATAAATATCGCAGAATTCAACTTAATCATGAATTATGAAAGGAAAACAAAAGTGAAAACAGAAATAAAGTTATCTATAAAAAACAGAAGAATTATCAATTAAACAAATCCATATCAACAAAAATAGGAGTCACTTAAAATAACAGGATTGAAAAATTAAATTTCAATCTTCCTAAAATGATTTACATAAGATAAATTTGTCTTAACTAAATTATTTTAGGGAGATTAAAATATGATTTTCAAACAAATTTAATAATTAAGTTTCAGATCATTGAAATTTATATATTCTTTGCATTTGAAAGGAGGGAAGGAGGCGTAAAAATGTAATGTTGTAAATAATAATTTTTTTTTTATCATACAAATTTTTTATTTACTTTATATAAGAAAAAAAAATTTGAATGTTGATTTGGTCCTTTTTTCTTTAACCCTTTTTTTCTATTAATTTTATGTTACAATGTTTTGATATTCAGATTAATTTATCAAAAGAAAATAATTTAGCTTATTACCATTGATTTTTAAGACCATTTTTTTTTTGGTAGTATGGGTGGGGTTTTTTCAAAATTTCATCTACTATTAAGAATTAGCCTTACACTTCTGCGCTTATAAATAAACGAATTTATAAATTCTGTGTTTATGAAAACAAATAAAACTTGAGTAGAAATTATCAAACGAAAAAACGCACAAGAGAAAACAGCTCCCCTATGTCAGCCTCTCTTCTTGGCCACACACTAACCTACACTGTTTTTTTCTTAAAAAAAAAGCCTCTACATTGGTACTTTCCCCCTCTATTTTCTTGAGTCAACAGGTGACCACACAAATTCATAGGGGGATAAGTTTCCCATCGAAATTTAAAAATTAATNAGAGTGCAAAAAAATGTTTATGGACCTCTGGAGGGTTCCTCCTCCGCATAGTTGGTATTTCAGAAAACGACCTGGAAGTGCCTTGCTTTTTGAGGGACCTAGAAGCCAGCAGACTTGTTTATCTCGCTTTGCAAGTGGTCACTTGAGGTGTCTCTCGTATGTTCAGGGGCAAAAGACTTTTGGACTTTGCACTAAATGTAGGACTGCTCAGGCTTCGCCCGAGCATATTCTAAACTGTATCGATTTTAAGATCGACGAGGTTTTTTCAAAACCTCATCTGTTTTTAGACTTCCTGGACATTTTTGGACTTATGGAATTGGTCTAAGTGGGATGGACCTCTTGGGGATTAGAAACAACAACAACACAGGTGACCACACAAATTCATAGGGGGATAAGTTTCCCATCGAAATTTAAAAATTAATGAATTTGATATAATAACAGTATACTGATGATTATGTAAAGTATACTGATGAATATACATGAATAAAAGTATGATGATGAATAAAAGTATACTTCCCGAAGCAGGTTTAATTACACGAATACAGGGTTTAAATTAAACTTCTTCTTTTCCCCAGGGCATCCAAACACTTCAACACACCACTTCTTAGATTAAGTCCCCTGTTGCATAAGTAAATACAGTGCGCAACATAAAAAAAATGGACCACCCTTAATAACTTTTGATCTAATGATCAGATCTTCTCTTTCTAGGAGCCATTCTTAATGATACGAAGGGTTAACCTCAAATATGCTGCTTAATTAGTGCAGACGATATTTTAAGTTACGAAATCAGACACAAAAAAGTACTTTCTCTGAATAAACATAGCTTTTTTTCGACGGATTCGGATTTCAGACAGCCAAAATATAGTGGACAGCCAAAATCTGGGTCTCAATAGTTTGGTCAGGAAAGAGGTCCAAAGTTAGGATTTTTCATTGTTAATTTTATTTTTTGCGCATTTCACCATATCTCGAAATTTTTTAAAACAAATTTAAAAATTTTTTTGCTTACAATTATAAATATTTACTATTTTATTTAATATTAGTGGGGAAAAAAATTTATTGTAAGGTATACTACTTTTTACATCATTTCAAAGAATATAATTTGACATGGCAAAATTTGAGTGAAATCGGTCGAATAGTTCCTAAGAAATCTAATTTCAAAAATTGTCACCTTTTGAAGTTAGAGGAATTGACCAAAACGCCCACATATATTTTCCATCCAACCACTCTCTCTCCCGTATGCCTGTTAAGGGAGAGTAGTGCGATTGTTCTTGTTTTTCAGTGGCGCCATCTATGGCCAAGAATTAGACTGCTACCACACCCATACGTTACACCCGTTTATAAGGCGGACCCATTCATACATCCACAGATCGTAATTTTGACCTGAATCAGAGAATGATCAATCTCTAATCCGGTACCCCCAGAGGTATCGATTTGTTATGTATGGTTACTTGGGGAGTTTGATTGGCGGGGTTCGAACTCACGAACTCTCGGACATGGGCCCAGCGCCCTACCGAGCAGGCTATCCCGGTCCATCCAACCATTTATCATAGTGATACATTTGAGAAATTGACCCTTTAGGCAGCAAACTTTGGCGCAAGATTAATTCATTCTATAACATTAAAGGATTGGATATACAGAAGGCTAGTCTTGAATACTGTTATTACATAAATGTTCGCATCATTCTGTTCAACTTCTGAATATGTAATTAAAAATATTAATTTTTCCCTATTCATTTTCATAACTTTTAAAGGAAAAAAAAAAGTCTATGTAGATTTAGAAATATACACATATATTTGTGTGTTGAAATTTCAGTTATTTTACATAATTGAGTGTTTTTCTGGATTGTGTTATATTGGAGTATATTTCAAAACTTTTTAAAGACAAAAAGAAATTCAAAATAATTCATTTCTGATACATAAACTTATAGTACATGAATTCAGTAGAGTAGCCAAGATAAATAAAAATCAAAATAACTTGATTTGACAGTGGAATGATCAGCAACTAGTTTAGTCCTCAAGGTCTTATACTTGTTTTGCAAATGTGGCTGATTGATTACCACCTGTATTATAGTTTTTTTTTCCTATGTTACTCAATGAGTAGGAATTTTTGCCAGTATGATTAAATTATAACTCATTGAAATGCATTAGTTTTCCTTTATGCAAATTGTTGCATAAAACAAAAAAATAAGGTATAATTTTATAAAAATTTACACACTACTCTAAGTGAGATAAAATTCATAATATGAGTTATATAACTTTGACATTAGTATAAGGAAAAAAATCTGCTTAGATTTGAAAAGAATGATTTATTATTGCAACTATTACACAAAAAAAAAAACACATGAAGTCACTATTTACAAGGTAAATAAATATGAAATCTTCTTGCAATAAAAATGAAATATAACAGCAAGAGATTAAATAGCTATGATGCATTAATGACATGCTACGATAGTAAATACATAATAAAAAGAAATTTCATAAAGGTTTTAAAATTACAAATATAATACTACACTGAAAACTGCACTATAATTCTCTATTAAACTTACTTAAGACATAAATAAAGGAATTTAACATCAGGAAGAAAAAAAAGGGATTGATCCAAAAAGAATTTATTTTACAGTTAACTATTTATTTTTTAATTTTTGTCTCTTTCAGTTGATAATACTATCTTGGCAAAACTGATCTAAAATAATAATTAAAAAAAATATATAGTAATATCTTGACTAATATAGAATTGAGTTAACAAAAAAAAATTTCTTTTGTGTACTCTTTTTAACCCTTTAACTGTGTTGTTACTTTAGCAAGTTTGTAAAAAAATAACCTTGTGAAGCACTGGCAAAGCTATTTTTTTTAGGAAGAAAGACAACTAGACTGCACCCAAAAACAGAATTCAAATTTGACAGATAACACAAGAAAAACTTCAAATTGTAGTATACCTAGAAAGACTGAAGGGGGCAGTTTGGCCCTTCCTAGATTGTTAGTGTGAAGATAAATTAGACATCCGAAATGATAAAATATAATCAAAATTAATTTAATAAAAACATATTGGAGACTTAAAATAAATAATTCCAAGAAACTGAAATGGCAAGATATTACCTGATTCAAAACTTCTTTTGCTTCAATTTGTTTATTTTTGCATTTGTTTAGTTTTGAAGCGAATTTCCAATCAGGTAATTCATTATATACTTGTTCATCGAAATTTAATGGTATTTTATTCGATTTGGTTAAAGAAAATATTTGATCAAGCAAAACACTGTTTTTTTCAAGTATGTATACAATAGTTTATTAAATAATTGAATTTGCCTTTATCTATGAATAATAATTATAGATATCTTGAAATACCCTTGCTTTTATCAAGACAGGGGTACCTTATATATACCAAAGGGTACTTTATAACCGAAGCTACCCGGGATTATGGGATACCTAAAGAGCCACTCTGGTCCTTCCCATCATTCATTCTAGGTATAGGTTCTATATATATATTTCTATAAGGCTAACACGTGAATGATTAAATAAGCATTTACATTGGATCAAATAATAAAAAGTCAGAGAAATATTCAAGATTTTCAGTAAGTTATTTTTAGAATTACAGGGCAACAAAAAACAAGAGGATCCAAATCGGTTTCATCTGTCTTTCAAGTGTTAAAGGGTTATATAAATAAACAAAGTTTCAAGAGTAATAAATAGCAATAATAGAACAGAATAAAAAATAGGCCATAAATCTATACAATGAAAGTAAAACATATTTACAAAATAGAAGATTTCTTTTTTTATTTATATTTTATATGATACACATTTAAGTGATAAATCTCGTTAAATGAATGAACACAAGGCAACACTCTCCTAGCTTTCTGTTAAATTTTCCACTCATTTATTGCCCATTCAAAAAGTCAAGCACACCTTTTGATATTTATAATAGTAATAGAAATAAATATAAATCAAGGAGGTATCTATTTTGATAATCTTTGCATGCGCATGGCGTGTGCTTCGTACAGAACACCATTAACTTGATAGTAATAAGGATTTTCAGAAGCACTTAGTTCAGGCCTGTAAGCACCCATCACATTCACTTCTCTTGTCATGCCAACTTCCCTTTGCATTTCAGGCACATACATTCCATTAAATATCTCCCGCACATTTCGTGCTCTTGGGTGCATTTCTGGAATCTACAGGGGGGAAATAAAATATCAAAGAAGAGTAACGAAAATAGAACAGATAACTACATCTATAAACACAATAAAATAAGATATATGTCACTAAATTTGGAGAGTTTTAGAGTCAAGAAGGCACTTAGTGTAACGTAAAGGTAGACAATAACCATGTAAAATGTAACTTCAAACCAAATTTCTGACTAAAATCGATTTTTCAGTTTTTTAGAACAACTAAACCCATTGAGCTTAAAGGAGTAAGCTTAATTTTTTTTTTCTCTTCAAAGTGAAGTTGATACCTTTTTCTTCAAAACATAACTCCTTATGCTTTCTTAGGACATGAAGTAAATCACTTATGCAAAAAATTCACAAATAAAAGACAGAAATTAAAAATTTTAAATTCAATGAACACTTGCAGACTTTGAAATTCAAAATTTTTCAGTACTTATTAAACAAATAATTATATATCTTTTTTCTTTTTGTACAGAATTATCTTTAGATAAACGTGTTTTATAAATCTCTTGATCAGCTCAAATAATTCCAGACGTATGGTAAAACATAAAAGTTTAAGGGCTACTCCACCTGGCAAAACTATTAAAATCAGATTTTTACCAATTACAATATCCTAGAGGCCTCACTCTTCAAAAATCGCAAAATTGAACATTTTTTAATTGCATTTGTTCACCGTGACTTAGAGGCATTGGCTGAAACATTTATTAAAAACTAGCTGAATACCCATTTTTTTGTACGGGGTGAATATGTTAATAACCAATAAATCGGTACAAATCAACACTAGGAAATTATGCACAAAGCTGAAAAGCATATACTAGCACAATTGATCATTTTGCTAACGTAATTCAATTTTTTTTAAATTTACGACTATTTATTCCCTTTTCTGGAGACTTTACATTTTTAGATGAAGCAAAGTACTTTTTTTTCAGATCATTTCATCAAAATAAATTCGCTTCACAATTCAACCATATTAAATCTTCTGATTGGAAAATTTAATAATTTAAACCTTCTTTCTTTTTCCTTCATAAAATTACTCAAGAGTCTAATAATTTTGATACAATTAATATAGAATAGATAAGACTCAATCAGTAGAATACATTTTACAAATAGTCTCCCATCACAGTAAATAATGTAAATTTACAATTTTTTAAACCAAATGCAAAAGCTGAAAATAAAGAATGATAGAAAGCTATTGTTTAGTCACAGAACAAAGATGCATGTTGATTAAAAATTATTATTTCAATCTTAGAACTACGCAAAGTTATAAAAGCCTTGTAAAACAGATCAAAAGTAATTTAGGTATTCCATTTTTATTTTATGCACTGCATATAACAATGAAATTATGAAAGCCGATATATAATAAAATTATATCTTTTAGAATATATTTATTGAATCATAAATTTTTATAAAATATGGGATGTTATATCAATGAAAAAATTTTTTATGATCATCACTATCACCTCCTAATTTTTCAATTAAATTAGTATCAATTTAATAGTTAAATGCAAATGCTCCTAAGTAATTAGAGGTGTTATTGATAAAGAAAAATATTGCAATTCATACCATCTAAATTTATCCTAAAAGTGGTTTGTTAGAAGTAGCTAATGTTTTAACTTAAATGATACCAAAAATTTGATAGTATAACTTATTTAATAATCTCATCTTAGGTATTACAGATATAAAGAAAACCAACCATGTATAAATGAAAAACAAATTACTTCATTAATCAAAATCTTAAGATGTTTATAATACTTACAGTATTTATTGGTGCACTTGGATCTGTTAATCCACTCCTAAGCAAAATATAAATAAAGCATATTACTATACGCAATTAGAATATCATCAAATTTACTATCAAATTTGAAAAAAATTACATAAAACTTTTTATCACATCATGAATTGTTCAAACGTCTCTTTGTTTTTGACAGTCACACAAGAAGTAAGCATTTGAGAATTGCCGACATGACAAGTTAAACTATCAAATTGACATTTATCTTGAAATCAGAAAAAGAATAATTGCAGCCAATCGCTGCTTCTATGGTTTAAGATCATTATTGAAATCTCACTTAATAAAAAGAAAGAAGGAGATTTTACTTTATAAGGTATTAATCAAGTCAGTTTTGACTTATGCTTCAGAGACATGGACTTTAACAAAAAGGGAAGAGAAGTTATTAGCAACCTTCAAAAGGCAGGTTCTACGAACCATCTTTGGCGCTATCCGCGATAGCAAACAACTGTAGAAAAAGATATAATTTTGAGAGGGAGAAGGGCAGAATGGGAAAAGCTTCTGAGGTAGGCCCAGACTCACAAAGGTGCCAATGCTGATGATGATGATGCTGCTGATATGACAAGTGTCCACACAAAAGGAAAAATTTTAAAGAAGAGGTATTTACTTAATGACAAAGAATTAAACAAAATATATGATACTAAATGGGGTACCATATTATTTAATAGGCTGATAGAATCTTATAAGCATGTCTAAAATAAGAAGTAAATGCTAGAAGTAGTCACATTAAATTGTTTAAACACATGATTTATTCCTAACAAACTTTTCTCTTTATAAGTAGGGCAGTTGAATGAAAAAGGAAAATACACCATAAAACAAATATCTTGCCAAAAACTCCAACAATGTCAGTAGATATCAAAACTTCCATCTGGTAGGTAAGAGAAATGCATAGTAAAAACACGCAAGTCTACACAGTTGTTTCTTTCCTGTTCTAAAATTGAGTGTAATGATAAGTGTCTTCATCCAACTTTTGAAATTGAAGCACACAAAGAGTTGCACGGGTGCGTGGATGAGAGATCACGCAAAAAATTTCCCCACTCGGCAAATTTGATTGGCTGCTCGGCACAGTTACGAAGATTAAAGTTTTGTTAATTAAATTAAATTTGAAAATACAAATGAAATTCTGCATGACAAGTTTTACTTTGACAGACAGATGGATACATATCTCAAGCATAAGGTTTCAAGTCAACTCTACAGATCAAATTTTAGATCTTCAGAACTGTCCAGTACCTTACCCATTGACCAATCGCGGCACCTCTTGACTAGAATAATTAAGTATGAAATCGCTAATTTAGTAATATATTAGTAGAAAAAATTAACATATTGTGAAAATATTAGCAACAGAATAAATTTTTTTATTGAAGCTATTGAATTACGTATTTATTAATTTATGATTCGGCAAAATGGGAATGCCCCCCTCCCAGAAATATAAGTTTACTATGTCCCTGAAGAGGTTTCTTTTATTTCTTGGTGGTTGAGGGTGCTGGTACATATTAAATTTATCATCACATGTCTGAATGAGTGGCAGAAAAAATTCTTAAAAGGATGCCCATGCAGATCCATTACATTGAGCCAATAAGTTATATTTGATTGCTTGAATTGATGGTCTGATCATGGAAAACCAACCAGTCTCAGAAATTTGGATGGGAAACACTTTAATATTATACAACTTAGAAAGTTCTTTTAATTGTGACTTCCATATCTTTGGTGATTTGAAGAAAGACATTGGTTGATGCCGGCATTGCTTGGACTATGAAGCACAAGAATGGGTGAATTATAGATCAATAAGCAACATATCTCTTTCTATAAGACTGGAATTAAGCATATCGTTTCTCAACGGGGTATATGTATCAAGACTTTGGTAATTAATTTAAAATAAAAAAACAAAATGCAATGTCACTTTAAAGCAGATGTTTAGTTTTCCTTTGTCTGCTTTTAAAAAATAGTGTAAAACAAGTTTTGAAGAAAAATTTTTAGATTATATTTTGTAGGATCATAAAATTTTACACCTAGAAAATATACAATATGCACAATTTTACATCTTCCATAATAAAACAGCAAAACATTAAAGAACAGTTCTACAAGGTAATATAATGACAATTTTTAGTAGTAGCAAACTTATTTTTTTAGGAAAAATCAGTACACAGGATGCGTAGCCAAATATTTGAATCAAAAATAAGCACTTTTTAAAAACTTTTCAAGCACTTTACGAAAATGTTCAAGCACTCAAAAAATTCATATTCAATCAATGATATTATTGAAAAACAAAAACTTTTTATGAACAGTTTTAGCGTTAAAAAACCCCCAAAAAGAAACGGGCGTAAATCGAAACAATCAGTACTTTCCCACATTACCGAGTGAATTCAATTTGACCCTGAACTCAGAACAAAAGGAACAAAAGTACCCTTACCCCCTACGGCAAAAAAAGTGTTAGAAGTAAAATAAAATAAACAAGAACAAAATTAATATGTATAATATAAATATTCTCTATCTGATTTGGAGCACTCGGGTTTCGGTTTCAAGTGTGCGCGCATGCGCAAGTCATAACATGGGTACAACATGAAGTCCGCGTGAATGATTACGTAGCCAACTCCCCATTTTTCGGGAAATACATGGGATACACCAGATATCACTGAAGGGAAAAAAATTATTCGGAAAAAAAGCACTTTTTAAAAACGCCAGCTGAAAAAAGCACCTTTAAAAGCTTTTAAAAACGAAATCCCCAAAAAAGCACCTTTAAGTACTTTTTACAAACGCTACGCACCCTGGTACAGTTTTATAGTCCATAATAAGACATAATAAATATCTTCCATAATAAAACAGCAAAACATTAAAGAACAGTTCTACAAGGTAATATAATGACAATTTTTAGTAGTATCAAACTTACTTTTTTAGGAAAAATCAGTACAGTTTTATAGTACGAAATTCTATTTTGAAAAAAACATAGAAACCACAATTACTTCAAGATAATAAAACAATTGAACTTAACAAAATATTCCATTCTACATGAATCCTCACAAATTAAGTGAAGTTATATAAAGATTTTACATTATTAACATAAAAAATTATATGGAAAACTGATAATATGCTGAAGAAAATTATCACAAACCTGATATGGAGATCATTAATTCTCTTTGAAATAGGCATTAATTCACAACAATCTTCTTCACATCTAGGGCGTTTTCTGCTATGCACAAAAAAAGAATGCTTTACAAAATAACATTTCAAATTAACATTATCATTTTAAATTAACATTATAACTTTTAATTTAGAATTGTGAAAAAAAAGGCAAAATAATTTAGAAGCTATGCTATATGCTTAAAATTGATCTAGTAAACGCTGCTGACACTACATCGGTCAGAAAATGTTTTTTTTAAATGATGGAAGAAATCAGAAAGAGATACATTTTTTTCAAAAATTGTCAGATTTCAAAAAGTTAAACACGTTATATAAGTGTTTTTAATTAAACTTTTTGCAATTAAGAGTAACTTTATAATAAATAAAAATATAAACTTTTCCTTTTAAGCAGAATCCTGTCCATAACCAAAATCATATTATTCTTCCGAAAAAAGGACAAAAAGGTGTATAATAATTCAAAGATATATATGGACCTGATTTATCCTGAGTAGCAAGAAGATGATGATAAAGATATAGATATAAAATTTGTTGACAGGTAAAACAGTCATCTTTTCATTTTGAGGCGTAGCAAAGCTAACTATCAATCTAGTTTATCGCCAAGATATTAATATTTGCTGCAACTTTGTTCCAAATCTAAAAAAATACCAATTTTGAAGCATGTTCCACTTTCTCACTACATTGAAGCAAAGCTGGTTATTTAATATAATCGTTAGAATATTTTTCCTGGTTTAAAATAGCAACGAAAATCGAGGTCAATATTTACAGAATAAAGAAAACAGTTAAGAGGCTCCATCCATCTCACATTGCTCATTCACATTGCAGTGTATTGAATAATTGCACTAGTTCTTCACCAGTAAAAAATTCATGTAGCAGAGTTTTTTCATGGTTTCTATGACAAAACTCTCTAGCACTAATATCTTTTTGCAAGATACTTTTAATAATAACAATCAGATATGTAACTAATTTAAAGGAACAAAAGCACTGAGTTTATGCAGAAAAAAAACTGTATATATATTTTTCAACTGAATATGTAATATTTTTTTAAAAATTCTAATAATATAGGCAATATTCATGTATTTTGCTGAGAGAAAAGAGACCTATTTGTTTCTATTTTTGCATTTTGTAAATCATCATCGCATAAAAGGAATAGTTAAAATTCGCGAAGTCCGTAGCAGTAAAATCAACAACGAAATCACACAAAGTAGTAAATAGTAGTTTATGGATAGAATAGTAAATTGCAATAATAAAACCTGGTAAAAACTGATATCAAATAGAAAAGTTAAAACTAATACAGTATTCAGGAAAAGCTTTGTTGAAATTAAAACCATAGTGCTAATTTTCATATAAAGTTACATGAATAGGACTTCATACATTTTTAAGAAAATAACTAAAAAGACAAAACTCTCTACTATTTTGGCACTTATAGCAAGACAACATATGAATATTAGAAACAAAAGATGAACAAGACATTTAATATGTTTCAATATTAACCTAAATTTCATATAAAAAACACTTATTTCTATTATATTATTTTAGTTTTTATTTAAAATTTAATATTATTAGCATTAGACATACCTGCAGTGTGTCATTGTTTCTGATTATAAATAGATAGTTCAAAAATTTAATTAAAAACTTGAAATTTTCCTATCATTTAGTTAAAAAAGAGAAAATGTTGATTTTAATCCAATTAGTTTGTAAAAATAATTGAATTTGAAAAAGAATTCCACTAATTTACAAGGACAAAAACCTGCTCGCTCATCGCCTATATTTGTTGATCTAAATTCTTTTCTAAATCGTAAATAAATAATAATAAAGTGAACATTAAAAATTGGATATGAATCAACTGCATGTTCTGAGTAAACTTAAATAGTGCGTGATTTTTCTGAAAATGCTATAAAATTTGAAACAGTATAAAAAACATATCAGTTCGCAAAATCTATTCAGTTCTGCTGAATTAAACTTTTACGACGGATAGAATTACGAACTTCCTTTTTGATGCCAGATATTTCTGTATCGAATTTTGAAGATGCCAGACAATAAAGTGTAAAACTTAAGTCTTAGGAATGAGGAGGAACGATTGCTTGTAACCGTATCTCTTTTCATTTCCTGTGTAAACACCATGGTAAACACGTGTGTTTGTATTTTAACTTGATTTCCTAAGAAAGACAGTGAAGTTTTTATATTCAAAAGAATCTTGAAAATTGATCATTTGGCTTGACTAATATTTTAAAATATCGAAAATGCCAGCTAGAATGCATCGCAAACAAAGCAAGCAAGTTCATTGTCGAATAAAATACAAGAGAATAAAAAAAGCAGCTGACCATAAACGTAAGCTTCGTCGAGAACAGAAGAAAAATCCTAATAAATGGAAGCCTAAAGATCCTGGCGTTCCAAACAGTCTTCCATTTAAAGATGAGATTCTTAAAGAAGCTGAGTTGAGAAAACAACGTGCAAAGGATCTCCGCGAAGCACAAAAGGCTAGTAGACTTAAACAGCAGATGGAAAATAGAGGACTTGAAGCACTCGTCGATGAAGCTGTTATGAAGGATAGTGAGTATGAAAGTAATATTATTGAGTATAAACCAAAAGAAAAGAAAGTGAATAGTGAAAACTTCAAGTCATATTACAAAGACTTGAAAAAAGTAGTCGAAGCAGCTGATGTTATTTTGCAAGTTCTGGATGCCAGAGATCCTTTGGGTAGTAGGTGTCCACAGATTGAAGAAATGGTCATCAGTAGTGGAAAGAAGCTAGTGTTGGTATTAAATAAAATCGATCTGGTTCCTCGAGCAAGTCTTGAAGCTTGGTTAAAATATCTACGCCAAGAACTGCCAACTGTTGCTTTCAAAGCTTCAACACAATCACAGAATACAAACCTCTCTCAATCTAAGGTTGCCGCTATTCATATCAATGAAAGCTTAAAGCAATCAAGCAGATGTGTTGGTGCTTCTTTTCTAATGAAAGTGCTAGGAAATTATTGTAGAAGCCAGAATATTCAAACCACAATAAAAGTGGGAGTTGTTGGCTTTCCTAATGTCGGTAAAAGCAGTGTCATCAACAGTTTGAAGAGATCAAGATCATGCGGTGTGGGTGCTACGGCAGGTGTGACCAAGTCTGTTCAGGAAGTATCGTTAGATAAACACATAAAAATCTTGGATTCTCCTGGTGTTGTTTTTGCAAAAGACGGCTCTGCTACGACATTAGCACTGCGAAATGTTGTTAAAGTTGAAACATTAAAAGATGTTATCACACCCGCTGAGGCTGTCATAGAAAGAGCAGGTCACACTCAACTTCGACTACACTACACCTTTCCCGAGTTCACATCGACACATGAATTGTTGTGTTTGTTAGCCAAAAGAATGGGTAAATTTAAAAAGGGTGGCATTCCCAATGTTGAGGAAGGTGCTAGACGCCTAATTAATGACTGGAATAGAGGTTATATAAAATATTGTACACTACCTCCTGAGGTATTCAAGCCATCTACATATATAAGCTCAACTTATGTTGCAGAAATGAGCGAAGCATTTGACATTTCTAGTCTGGAATGTAATTGAATTGAATTGCAGCGTGCATGGTACTTTTTGCTAAGTTCAAAACTTAATAATTTTCAAACTTATCAATAAAATGTTAAATTTTTTTTAAACCTCTGTTCTCACTGTACATTTGTCTACACTCCTATCGTAATTTGAAATTTCTATGTTTTATAGCTTCTGAGCAGCAAAACAAAGTTGAACACTTAAGACCGTAGTAAACTTGTGATTTTTTAATAGACCAAGTAATATTTTTGAATGCTTTATTTTTTAAATAAGGCAAATTCACTTAGTATATTGAAAATGTTAAATATATAAGAGCCCACTACCTTATATTAACTTAAATTCTGCATAGCTTACAGTTATGCTTATTCTAATAATATTAAACCACTGGGAAGGTCAACAAAAAAATAACAAGCAACATCATAAAAAACTTTGTATTATTTGAACTTTATTATTTGTATATGCTTTGTCTCTCAATTTTGTGCTTGATTTCGTAGTGTTCTTCGGTACAGTTTTATTTATTTCCTTTTTACCCAGTACGAAGGACAAGAATTTCACCAGTATGAAACAAAATGCTGCTTCTTCCTTCAAAATGCTTATAATGCGTCTAGAGGTCCTACAAAAGAAAAAAAAATTCAAAACTTAAAACATAGATTTGAAAAACAAAAAATATGTAAAATTTTCATGATGGTTGAAACATACATGTTCTCACTTCTAAGGGCCCAGATATGGTTTATGAAAATTAATAGATGGTAAAACTTAAAATAAAATGAAAAATCATATATAGTTCTGAAATTTGAGTAAGAATCATATAGGGCATCTAATCAAATTAAAGTTCTTTTAAAATAATAAAGCAAAATTAAGTTTTGAATTCAAAATTAATGGAGGAACTTGTGTAGCTAATTGTTTTGTAAACTTGAGTTGGTCGAGGACAATAGTATAATTATCGGTGCTAAATAATTTTAGGTATAGTTAGCTTTATTTTGATGACTTAAAGTTCTAAGAAAGTGTTTTAATCTAACAAAGTAAAATAAACAAGAAAAGCAGTGAATAAAAAAATATACATATATTGGTAATTACTAACTTTATTTTAACTCTGCGTTAACATCTGCATTTCCATTTTGTGCGTGATTGAGTATTGGTGATTAAAAACGATTTATGCTATTTATTTTTTTGTTAGACCCCATACGACGAACATGTGCAAATAAAAAAGTAATGCTATAACTTTGCTTTTTTATATAGATCATTCTACAACTTGAACATTGATTTCCTTGAATCAATTCACTAAAATTGCCTTAATTCTATATATAATAACAAATAGTTTTTATTTAAAAACATTTTTCAGGTAGACTGAAAAGAAGAAAATAATATTAGTTTTGTCAGACATCAATCAAGAGCCTAAATTTCGGAAAACATAGAGGAATTTTCGATGGTGATTGAAGTTAATTATGAGAGTGGCGAAAAAAAATTTTTGTCTATAAATTTTCTTTTCTTTTTATCTAACTTAAATTTATCAATCGAAATTTTGAGCTATTTCCGACGCAAATCTAACAGACACAAAACTAAAACGAGAAAAATAAATCTTACAATTAAGAGACGATAGCAAATACTTAAGATGCATGTATCTTTGATGCTTGAATAAGTGATTTAAATTTTCTTCCTCAGTGTCATTCGTACAAGTAAGTGATGTACTAGTTTTCATTTAAAAATTGTTATACCAGAAAATTTTTAATGAATAACAAAAGTATACGAAATGTTTTTGCTTCTAAAAAAAGTTAATTTGTGATTAATTGTTATTCTTTAAAGTTTTGGTAAGAAAAAGATTTACATCTTTCTTTAAAATAACGTAATGTTATCTTATTAAAATTTCTTTGATGCTACAAGATGTTTCAAAAATAACTTTTGTCCATATCTTACCCTGAAAATGAGAGGGAGACACTTAACAATAAATAAAAAAATATCAGAGATAATAATTTCTGATGTTTTATGCAGAAATAATTAAATTTTAGTTTTTTCTTTTTTGATGACCACATAAAAATTTGCAGATTGAAGCAAGCATTTGCACGTAATTAGAAGGATGTAATAAATTAACATATTTTCTCTCTAAATTCTGTAATAAAATGTTGAAGAAAAACTTGATAAATTTGCAGGTAATAGTGAGATGGCAGAAATAGAATTGTTGACTAGAGATCCTTAGAGTGGCTGATCCAGTCATTTCAAAACAATAATCTTAATTGGAAGAAAACTGGGTTAATCATGATAGATAAGGAAAGATACTACAAAGAGGGAAGTGCTTAAGGAGAAATTTGATCATGTATCTCTAGCCATTTGTTTATTGTAACATTTGAAAGAGAGGTATCTATTTATCAATATTAAACATGAAAAAAAACTTGAAGGTAAAAAAAAAAAAATTGATTGAAAAATTAATTAAAAGTGAAATTTTTTTTTCATTTGTATCATTCTTCAGCATGAATTTTTCCTTACTTAGCTTATATTAAGCAATTGCAGAAACATCTTTATAATTATAGGGTACAGCAGTCCTTGCTCGTGATCCGACTGATCTATTATTCTTTTTTTTAAGCAATATTATTATACATAGATAGACCAAACTGTCGGACAATTCGACAGTATTTCGGACAGCAAACTTATCCTAAAGTCCTAAGCTACCAAGAAAAGTAATAGAGTAGAGAGGACTAGTGTGGGCATTTTTTACAAATTTGTCCACAAAAAAAAAGGAAAACCTTATTAAATATAATTTTTAAGTCGTGATGTATTTTTTTAACAGTGATTTGGGCGTTTTACTGCTTTTTTTATTTTTATACCTGAAGTTTTTCGGGCCCAGTGTGGGCAAGGTATAAATCAGCCAACAAAAAAAAGTGGGCACGTCCCTGAAATTTTTATATTTTGAACACCCTTCCTCGGGAAAACTTTTTCTTGGAGGTACTGTTTTGTGACATGCTATTGAAAAGCTATAAATACTTTTAAAAAATAATGATTGTCTTTAACTACCATTTATTAATTCTAATCTATTGTCTATTTTTTTTTAATTTTTTGACTAAAACATACTTTTTAAAAAAAAAATATTTCATTTGTCAACAGTAATAAACATTTACAAAAAAAAATAGAATGTATTATTTAGATGCTAATTAGAATTAACGTATGCCTAATATAGGTATTTCTTGCTATACACTGGTAGTGAATTACGTGAAGCAATAGAAAGTTATGAGTTTTCATAGATTTTATAATTTACAAGCTTGCCTCTCGTATGTATGTACTTTTCCCCCCTCTCATTCTGACTGGAAATTCAACCTTGTATTCCATTTGTTTTATGAAATACAGATGACTATGATTATAAGAAATAGGGTTTATGTGTGCATCGGTGGTTTTCTAAAAATTATGCAAGATTCAAAAAGTTTTTCCTCTAAATGAATTAGTTATGTTTAGTTAGCAATAAAAATTGAAGAATATAACCAAAACAGAATAATTTTTTTATTAAATTCATTAGTAAAATGTTTTCTCTTTATTATATTTGACGAACAACAACATCAACCTATTGTATTTAAAATGCCGTACTTAAGTTTTTACACACCTCTTANTTTTTTTTAAATTACCGATTTTACTTTATTTTTGTGAGTGTCTAAATTTCAGGAGGGGCGAAACGCATCGTTTGCCCCATCACTTAAATTTTAGAGGAGCCCTCTGCCTCCTCCTGGTTGGCACGCCACTGGGTCTGACGCTAGATAGTAGAGGAAACAATGTAAACCAGAAGTGGAATGTACAGAAAGTGTTAACAATCAACTACATGCAGCTGTGGCCTTTCCCCTTCTCTGCAAAGCGTGTTTGTTCTTATGAGAAAGGGAAATATAATTCGCGAAAAGCTGTTATACCGTTTTTTACCCTTTCCTGTTATAGTAGGTAAGTAATTACAAAAAAGAAAATTTTCAGCATCTCTATCTTAACACAATTTCTTCCCTATATATATATAATTAGAGTATTGTATTTTGAAAAAACATGATGTGGTGGTCTCTTCATATGGGGCCCCCTTGACCGTCGGGGCCCCAGGGCGGTGCCCCGGCTTAGTTACGACCCTGTCTCCAGGTCATCATAGGTATGTGTAAAATTTTAAAAATATTTTAAGTAAACTAAGTGTATTGAGAAAAAGTATAAAAACCTTGCTTAAATTTTTTTCAATTTAAACATTTTTTTTTTAACTCAAGAAATTTTCCGGAATTTTGACTTGTGCTCACAATCACCCCTGAATATCCCAAACTTCTACTTAATAAGGCTGGCCTCAGGAATGAGGCTGTACAAGGAAAATTTAGTTAATAAAATATGGACAACAGACTATAATATAGGCAACAGTTGCGGGGACTGCTAACTGACTGATTTTCTGTTTTTATTTCTAGTGTTGATATTCTATTGTTATTCGAATATTTTAATTTTTTTTTATTTGTTGTTATTCCTTATGCATCTGTTCGGAGTGTTTTTACACTCCAGCGACTGATGTACACATCCAGTGCTGCTGCTAGAAATAAAAAACTAAAAAATAAATTTAAAAAAAACCCAGCTACAATATAAAACGTCGCAGAGTCTTTGAAAACAACACCAGTTCAAATCCCCCAGAAATAAAACTATGCACCTAACCAAAAGTGGTGGCTAAATCAAGGTAAAAAATATGGGGAGTCATTTCTTGTCACAAATGAGTTGGCAGATGTCAAACAATTAGACTGGAAGCAGATATGCTAAAAGATTTAGAACTGATACAAGAGATTAAAAAATAATGACGTGAGCTTCAAAGCCAATTATAAATGATCTGATTAGACAATTTATAATATTATTTTTAGTCATCGGAAGAGAAACAATAATTTTAAAATATCAGTTACGGAATCACCACGTTTTGCTGCTACTTTGACAGGTATGAAAGAAATAGCTAAAATTTCAATAACTGCCGTTTTCGATGTAATAGAAAATCTTGATATTAATTTGGTATGTAATAAAAAAAGGATGTGCAATTTGATTTTGAAAATGATAAAAAATAGACTTAATATTAGAACTATTAAAAAAATTCAGTTAATCAGCTCTAAGTTTTGCTGAAGCTAAAATTGGGTAAGATAAACGAAAATTTATATTAAAACTTGATGTGTATGTATACTCTTTTATTCGTTGGAATCCTCTAGAAAGAAAAAGTGAGTAGACTTATTTGATTTAAATTAACTCGCATGTGTCTGAAAAAAATATACCCTTGCAAACCTTTCTTGCAGCGATTTTTAAATTATAATTATTGGACGATTTAACCACCAATTTAAAAAAATATCAAAGGAAGCTTTTATTTTATTAAGCATTCAGTTAATCCCTTTACCTCAGTTAATATGTGCATTGACATTTAGATTTTTATCCGATGTCATTGATACGTGACACGAATATGGTTGAAACAGATCTAATGACACGCAAAGAAATCAAATTTTAATTAAATAATTACCAATTTTGAAGAAGATAATTCGATAGCTCCCTAATTCTGGCCACTAATATATATTTAACGAATCCTAGAATAAAAAATATTGGTAGGGATCAAATTAATATTTAGGAGAGAAATAACAAACATGCTGTTTAACTCTGATCAAAAACATGATATAGCGAGGTTAATAAGAGATGAAGGATTAAAATAATCTGAAATTCATTTAATCGGAAACAAAGATTTGTAGGAAGGGAAGCAGAATAGAAATCAGTTTATTGAATCAAAACATAGAGGCAAGTTCTTTATAATTCCAAAATCTTGGAGTATCAGTTTTATAATAAAGCATTTACTCTTGATTTTTGTAGTGGTATAAATGTTTTTTTTTAGATAACCATCATATTTTGCATTACATGTAAAGGGGAACCAGGAAAATATCTTTCAGATTGTTTGACGTTTAAAGTATTCCACCTAAATGCTCAGTAATCTCAATGTATTTTTTTTTATATAATGAATAATTTTTTTAGCATTTCATCTTTGTGAATATAACGAGATGCTCTTTATATTTTTGTTATTTTTAACTCAATTCAAAAATCAAAGAAATTAGCTACGTAAGTATCGGAGTAAAACCATATTTATGAAAGTTATAAAAATAATTCACTTTAGTTAAGATTAAATTGAAATTAAAATTATCAAATTTTGCGTTACACGCTAAGAAAAACCTTGAAAATGTTTTTCATGAAATGATTGCTTTTATTGGTAGTAATTTAAATGTCGGAGTACAATCATATTTATGAAAGTTTAAAAAAAAAATTTTTTAATTAAAATTAAATGAAAATAATCACATTTTGTGTTACACGCAAAGGAAAACCACGAAAATATTTGTCAGATTTCTTGATGGTAATAGGATTCCATCTAAATCTTCAATATAGCAATGAAATCATTTTTTAATAATCAATAATTTTTTTTAATCATTTTTGATATATAGCCTATCATCTTAGTAAATGTTGTGAAATGATCTTTTTATTTTTGTACACAACCCAGGTATTAAAGTAACTTTTAATTTAAATACAGGAATTAAATTATGTTTTGAAAGACTTGATTAGAAATGAAGAAAATGATAAGAATTTACATTACTCACAAATGAAAACCATGAACACGTTTTAATAACAAGCTAACTGAATGCTAGCAGACATTTATGAGACTCTATCTCAGCAGTTATTAACATTTTCCAGTTTATTGTTCGAAATTTAATGTTTAGGGCAGCTTAGATTGCTTGCAAAAATGTTCTTTATTTTATTTTATCTTTCTTAGTTATTTTTACATTTATTTTTTAAAAGCACTTTAATTGTTTTTTTTTATTTTTATATAGATATTTTATTTCAAGCATTTGAATTTCAGAACGATATAAAAATCATTTTTAAGAATGTATTAATGTTTCCTTTTTAAAATTTACAAATTTTTAAAAAAATGTGTTAATAAAAATATAATGTAGAGACCAGTGATGTCAAAGTTCAGTGACGTACGGTTGGTACACACAAGCAATGGAAGGGATACTAGCCTATATTCTTCGACTGAATTGTCATAACGGAGTTTAACTTTAAACCTGGTCTAAATCGCGAAGTTAAACCTAAACCAAGCTGCATTGCAGAAACGAAGTTTAAAGAAAAACGAAGGCAGACGAGTTTTAAACCTCGATCGTCTGCTTACAATCCGAGAACGTCAATCTCGCTTTCGTAGCTGTATTGTTTTTATCAGTTTTAAAATATAAATGCGTGCATATTATTGAGAAATCATAATATAATTTTGTATGAATATCGTATATTTTTTTCTGTATCTTTTAAAGTGTTTATAAAATCTTATGAAAGAATGCATCTTTTGGATCTCCCAGATTTGTTCTGAATTGACAGTATACTATTCAGTAATTTTTGTTTTCTGGAAAATAAACATAGAGATAATTAAATATCTCACTTGCTGAATGGTGCTTTCTTTTTGAGTGATTGTGTATATTCAGGGCTGAATCACCCATTAGGCCAGACTAGACCATGGCCCCCAATGATTAGAGGCCACCTTAAAATGGATTTTTTGAAAATAAATTTTAAAAAATTAAGAAAAACAATGATTTTTCAAAATGCTATGATTATTTTTTAGTTCTAATTTAAATTATATTAATTTTGAATATGCTTTCCTAAATGAAAAGATAGATGAATATTTTTATATTTGAGTAAATAAAAAATATACGAGAAAATTTTTTAATCTAAGGGCCCCAAAAATTTTGAATGGCCTAGGGCCCCGCGTACGCTTAAGCCGGCCCTGTGTCTGTGTATATTATATTCAACCCTTTTCGGAATAATAAAATGCGAGGGATACGAAATTACAAATTTAGGGATTGAATAATTTAAGATTTTTCTTAAAAAATCATGAATGTTTGAATAGACCAATTACTGATTTTAAAATAGTGCTATTGTTAATAAAAGTATTGGATTCTTTACATGTTATTAATTAGTTATTGCTATTAATAATTAGTAATGATTATTACTATTAACTTCATTTGATGGTTTCAAACATTGATTATATTTTTCAAAAAGGGGAGTTTCATTTATTTATAAAATTTCTTATCTCTTAACAAATGTTCTTAGTAGCAGTCAACTAATTTTCAAAGAACATAAATTATCTTTTTTGATTTGTTTGCTACATTTTTCTAAAGCATTAAAAAAGCATCTATTATCAAAATGTTCTAAATTAGAGAATAACAACTTCATGCCATGAATAAAAGTTACTGTGCATGTTATAATTCTCATTTTTATAAATTTTAACTAGATAAATTATAGTTACAAGGGATGGAAGTTGAAAAAAACTGTATAAAATATAATCGAAAATTAATTTGTTGAAGACTATATTTGTGTTTTTGTAACACTGAGTGCAAAGATATTTACTTATAGACTAACTTACTAAAATTTTCTTAAATTTTTAACGAGATGAATTTTTTATTACCGCAATATGAGATAGCAATAATTTTTCGTTCATGCAATACCAAAATTTTTTTGTATTGCTTTTTGTGTTATGTTAAATCACATTTAAATTTTTTAAATTTAATTGACTGAAAGTCATTTAAGATGTTGAAAACTGGTTCTTCTTGGCACTGTCAACTAAGTTTGACAAATAGGTTGCATTAAAATTTTTTTCCTGTGTATATTGTCAATAACTAAATATCCAGGAGATAAACTTTTAATGCTATGGAGACGTGTGATTCTTGCCCTGTAAGAGTGACAGAAAGCAGATGGCTGTTAAGGCAAAATAAACTGTTAAATGAACTAACACAATTCAGGGATATTTCCTTAAGATGATCTATCAGGCCAACTAAAAATTACTAAACTGCCAAATGGAAGAAGTACTTCGATTGGTTTGAATAAATTATCAAACCGAGCATGCGTGTAACCATTCATGTAAACCGAGCATAATGCCATTCCAGTATTGACCAATCATATGCCTCTTTCTATTAAAAAGTCGGGCAGCCAAGCAACAGTCAAAACTTAAATTTAGGAATGAGGACGAACGATTGTTTGTAACCGTATCTCTTTTCATTTCCAATGTAAACACGTGTAATTGTGTTTTGGTTTCCCGAGGAAGAAGAGAAGTATTTATATTCAAAAGAATATAGAAAATTAATCCTTTGACTTGATTAATATTTACAAATACCGAAAATGCCAGCTAGAATGCATCGCAAACAGACCAAGCGAGTTCAGTGTCGGATAAAATACAAAAGAATAAAAAAAGCAGCTGAACATAATCGTAAGCTTCGTCGTGAACAGAAGAAAAATCCTAAAAAAAGGAAGCCTAAGGATCCTGGCGTTCCAAACAGTCTTCCATTTAAAGATGAGATTCTTAAAGAAGCTGAAGTGAGAAAACAACGTGCAAAGGATCTCCGCGAAGCACAAAAAGCTAGTAGACTGAAACAGCAGATGGAAAATAGAGGACTCGAAGAACTCGTCGATGAAGCTGTTATGAAGGATAGTGAGTATGAAAGTAATATTATTGAGTATAAAGAAAAAGAAAAGAAAGTGAATAGCGAAAACTTCAAGTCGTATTACAAAGACTTGAAAAAAGTAGTCGAAGCAGCAGATGTTATTTTGCAAGTTCTGGATGCCAGAGATCCTTTGGGTAGTAGGTGTCCACAGATTGAAGAAATGGTCATCAGCAGCGGAAAGAAGCTAGTGTTGGTATTAAATAAAATAGATCTGGTTCCTCGTGCAAGTCTTGAAGCTTGGCTAAAATATCTACGCCAAGAACTGCCAACTGTTGCTTTCAAAGCTTCAACACAATCACAGAATACAAACCTCTCTCAATCTAAGGTTGCCGCTATTCATATCAATGAAAGCTTAAAGCAATCAAGCAGATGTGTTGGTGCTTCTTTTCTAATGAAAGTGCTAGGAAATTATTGTAGAAGTCAGAATATTCAAACCCTAATAAAAGTGGGAGTTGTTGGCTTTCCTAATGTCGGTAAAAGCAGTGTCATCAACAGTTTGAAGAGGTCAAGATCATGTGGTGTGGGTGCTACAGCAGGTGTGACCAAGTCCGTTCAGGAAGTATCATTAGATAAACACATAAAAATTTTGGATTCTCCTGGTGTTGTTTTTGCAAAGGACGGCTCTGCTACGACATTAGCACTGCGGAATGTTGTTAAAGTTGAAACATTGAAAGATGTTATCACTCCAGCTGAGGCTATCATACAAAGAGCAGATCACACTCAACTTCGACTACACTACACCGTACCCGAATTCACGTCGACTCATGAATTGTTGTGTTTGTTAGCCAAAAGAATGGGCAAATTTAAAAAAGGTGGCATTCCCAATGTTGAGGAAGGTGCTAGACGTCTAATTAATGACTGGAATAGAGGGTATATTAAATATTATACACATCCTCCTGAGGTTTTCAAGCCATCTACATACATAAGCACAACTTATGTTGCAGAAATGAGCAAAGCATTTGATATTTCTTGTCTGGAAGAGCAAATGGAACTTGATAAAGCTCCAGGAGTGTTTCCTAGCAGAGGTGTTGCAGTGCAATCTACTGACCCAACGGAAGGGCGCTTAGAGGAGACAGAAGGCTCAAATGAAATGGAGACGGAAGATAACGAGTCAACCAATCGAGAAGTTACTGTAACTTTTGATGCCAAGAAAAAGAAAAGCAAAAATAATGAGACGGATATCGCTATGAATGACCTACAAAAAAATAAAATGGTAAAGAAGAGGTTTAAACAAATGAAAAAGCGCCGCAAGAAGCTGGATAAGGAGGCAAATAGTGTTGCTGAAACTATTGAATCATTAAGTTTTGATTAGGTTTTAGAAATGACTGAAATATTAATTAAATCTGCTATTGTTTCTTTTAACAATTTTCAGTAGCTATTTGTATTTATAAAAATTGGGTTAATTGAAAAGTCAACTGTAAAGTTTGTTTTCTTTATTTAAAAAAATGATTTGGTTCTCTTTTTTAAAAAAAATATTACTTATGATTTTAAAATTTTTTGAAAGATCTATCTAAGCTCTTTTTAAGATCATTTAAATTTCCATGAAAGAATTTAGTCTCCCATCTTGTATTTTTAATCTCTGGCATAAATGAAAATTTTTAGTTTGAGAGCAGGGGTCTGTTTTTGTAAAATTGTGAAAGAACTATTCATAATTTGAGAATATAAAGTAAGCATTAAGTCACATTCTTTCAACCAGGGTCCTGCTATTGTGAATTTGTGCAAATAGGGTCCTGTTATTACTAAAAACCTTTTCAAAATTTTTTTTAATTGTAAATAGATACAAGATTCTGCTCCATAATTGCTGCTACTAAATTAGAGATGCAACATACAAATATTTGATATTTAGCCTGTACTGTTCAACCCAGAATATTAATTTAGGACGGATAATGGAAACAAAATCACTCACATTTTTAAAAATTTCAATTGACATATTTTAAATAACACAACTTAGTAATGTATCACTTTTAATGTGTTTTATACATTAAGTAAACTTAAACAGATCTTAAATTTATAATATTTTATTTAAAAATTTGCCAGAAATGAATTTTTATTTACATAATATTCTATTAATTAATTTTATGAAAAGATATAACTTGATCGATTATTTATTTAGAAAAAAAGTTTTGATTTAATATTAATAAGAATGCACACACAATGTTTGTAAAAGTAGAAATATTTTCTTAAAATACTACATTTGCATTTCAAACTCAGGAAACATAGTTCGTCTCGACCCCCCCCCCCCAGGAAGGGTTTATTCGATTAACAAAACAATAAGAAAGATAAACAAATTTGTGACGGGTCCAATTAAAGATAAATTATTTCGTGAAGGGTTCGTTAACAGACCCAAATTAAATTTCTTCTGAACAGACCTATGAAGAGTATTGTGCCAGACTTAAAATTAGTAGAGTTTTATAAATGAATGAGTAGCCTGAAATGGATGGTTAAAGATTATTTATGTTAACACATTTCTGAAGAAGAAAAAAAACATTTTGAATATGAGAATATAATTTGTTATTATTAAAATTTTTAGTAATTTAAAATGTGTCAATATGTAATTTATCATCTACTCTTCTTTACCACCTATCCCTCCTGTTAACATTTGTGTTATTAACTTGTTTGTTGTTGTGATCCTTGATTGCAAAGCAGTCATAAGAGTATATACAGTAAAACTTTGCAGCAACAGTATTTTAGTGACCAAATAAATATATTTTTATGGAGGGATATATTTATATATCGAGGGCCTCCATATTTTAGGGACACAATAAGATTTTTTTTAATGCTATATATGTAATAACTAAAAATCTATTTATATATTATATAAAATTTATTTTGCACAGTGTTAATTCTGGTTAAATATGAAATCAGTGACTTCTTAAGAGATAAGGCAGGCAATTCTAAGGTCTTGGGGTGGTCTATTTAGGTCAAGGATGGGGTGATGAAATCCCCTGTGGCAGAAATTTTTCGAACTGAACTCTCAATCACTAATTTCTTTCTGCAAGATACTTTTAATAATAACAAACATATATGTTACAAATTTAAAATATTAAAAGTGCTGTGTTTACAAAAAAAAAATTATATTTTTATAATAAAACATGTAATAATTTTTTACTCTAATATTATGGGTGATATTCTTGCACTTTGTGCGGGGAAACACACAAATTATTTCCTTCTGCGCATTTTTTAAATAATTATCACAATAAAAAATATAATTAAAAATCATAAAATCCGTAGTAGTAGTAGTAATTGCCGAATAAAAGATAGACAACGAAATCACACGAATCGGGCTCCTAAAATGCGTGTTTCCTTTTGAGATTACGCTGTTGTAATAAATAATATCGCATAAAAAATATAGGCTTTAAAAACTATGGAGAAATCAATAGCAATAACTGCCAAAAGTTCGACAGAATTATTGCCTTAAAAAGTAAATACTCAAATGCACGGTTCGAATTTTCCATATTGTTTGAAATATATGTGATATACAAAATCCACGCAAAAATCAATAACTGTCGAAAATACAATCGTTGCATCAACTAATGATTCTACTGTCCTAAATTGAGCATGTTAAAAAGTGATTATCCAAATGCACTATTCAAATATTCCGTGTCAATTTCTGTAGAAAAGACTTTTTTTTTAAAAAAGCTTTTCCAATGAAAAATCTTTCCGCAAGAACTCTGTAACGTTCTGCGACAATGTCGCTGTGATTCTGCCCCGGGGTTGAAATCTGAATACAAAAGCAAGGAATTCACTGTGGTGAAAGGAAATAAGATAAGTACATAATCAGCAGAGAGTCTTCTCTCGTCAGAAAGGACCGGAAAAAAAAGGCAAAATATGATAAAATAAGATTTTTTACGTTATTTGAAAACCAATAATAAATGGAACAAATAAGGTTGAAATATGAAGAAAAAATATCGTTTTGTGGGGGTTTATTGCTTCAGAGAATATTGCAATGTTGAGAGGAGGATAACATTAATTCATATGTAAGCTCATCTGGACCACGAAACATTATTGTAATAAATAGAGGGAGTTATTGTTGTATCGGATATCGTAGTAACGAGGGTTCACTATATTTAAAACTCTTAAAATGCTAAGGTTTTGTACTCTTATATTTTTGCTCATAAGAAACAATGTTTTTTTATATTCTTTTAATTGCATTTTTTAAACAAACAATCTATAACAAATAGTTGGCTGTCAAGTAATATACACTTGTCTAACTGTAATCAAGTTTCATTAGGTATATTTATATTTCTTGGTATGTATATTTTAATTATATTACTTATAAAAAATTATTATATATCAAAATCACCTGTAGATTTAAAAAGGATTCTCTTTATAATAAGTAAAATCTCTTGTTTTGCAAAATATTAATTAAACTTCAAGGTTTCAGTAAATCTGAAATTTTTTTTTTAAAATCAAAAGTGTAAGTTTTATTTTTAGTTCCAAATGGAGTTAAATGTTGCTTAAACACTAATTTTTATTTTTTTTTCATTTCATTCAACACCTTTTCAACATTTCATCTTTACTTTATTCTAGTTACTGTTTTAGGATCTTGCATTATTTATTTTTTATTTTAGAACTTCATGTCTGCCTGTTCTTAGATCAACATAGAATTGGAATAATTCAAGTGAAACAAATAGGGTGCATCCCAAAGATTTACGATATTTGACGTTCGGAATATTTAGAAAGTTTTATGCTCTCTTCTATTTTTTTTCTTTTATAAAACAGAAATAGAATTAGTCAATATTACACCTTAATTTAAAATTTCGAAATTGCTATGAAAAAATTATGCTCTAGTATCATATCGGACATCCATTTTGCAATTCTCATGTCCCATTTTTCTAACCATAGCCATTTTCTACAATTAATACTATACCATAGCCATTTCTACGATTAAATGACCGCATACACGACACAAAAATGAGTGTTTAACTTCTGGAATTATTTTTTTGATTATCTCTCATATTAAAAGAAAATTACTGCTGCTATCACTACTATTTCAGAAAAAAGTTTATTGAACATGTTTCTCATAGTCATAACTCAAAAATTATTAGATTAAACAATATGAGATTTTACACATTTCCAGAGAAAAAAAATCTGATATCAAAATGTAATTGATGCAGGTATTTTACAGAAGTTAAAGATTCTTCTTTCTTTCAGAAATGTATTTTTGTCTTTAATGGATAACTTGTCAATTTCGATTAATTTTTGGCAGTATTTCGGATTTTTAGAAAAATTAATTGCAGTAAAATTATAATTTTTAGTTTTGTACTCTAATGACTGATGGTTAAAAAAACGTTGATCCCTTAAAGTTGCAGAGTTAAAAAAATTAGGTGTTTTTATATTGAATTGAAATGTTCTGTTCATTTATGATTCCGTTAAATTGGACTTCCCACCTACCTCCTAAAAATAAATGTTTGCGGGGTCTTAGGTGCAGCTTAATTCGAGGAACAGTAGATTGCTGCTTTTGAAAAATATTACTTTAAAAAAAAAAAAATTCATAATTTTTTGTATGATATTTTGACAGTTTAAAGCACAGTTAATTACCACTATATTCCTGATTCTTAAAGCTAGTGATGGGCAAGCATTTAGGGTAAAGTACAATTAACTATATTATTGCAGAAATGTTTGCACAACAATGAAGCAAAACCATCCCTAAGGCTGGGGGGGGGGAGGCATACAATTTTCTTGTTGCCTAGTCGATATTCCTTACAAGAAATGACATGCTTTTCAATTGCAGAGGGTTTCTTATGTATGCTTGCAATGTGCATAAGTTAAGTGAAAGTATTCTTATTAAATATATATATTAATAGAAGAACAAACCAGCAAACATTTAATAGTTAGTTAAAATCAGTATGAAAAGAATTAAAAATTTATATTTAGGTACTTTTACGCGAAACTGATTTTTTAAACATTAAAGTCAGATATTTGTTGGCTATACATATCTAGTATCAAAAATTTGTGGTAATATCTTGAATAACAGAAGCAACTATTAGATGGGAAAAGTAGAATGAAGTTGTTCCGAAATACGATAAAGGTTATTAAAAAAAGTGATTAAAAACGTAAAAATTATCTTCAAACTATTTTAGATGATTCTCATCCTTGCTTTGCTCAGACTAACATCAATAAATGATCGGTCAGAGTTCGAAAACATTTTTGTACTTTCTTACTCACTTGTATTTAGGAAGAAAAAAAATTTGCTCATGCTAAAAGCAATCTTAAAAAAGTGTGTTCATTGCAATTTTTTTAGTAGAACCTTATGTGTGTTGTGTTTTACTTTATTTATTATCTTTTTTGCTAGTCTCTAAAAGTGTATTAAAAGCTGTCTTCACTGAACACCCTTTATGAAAAAATCTGACATTTGGAACTGACTTATTGATCTCGACTTATGGGTATTTTTGTTCCAAATACATAATATGTACTAATGAAGGTATATTATCCATAATATTCAAAACTAAGGTTACACTGGGCTGTAATGGCAAGAAGAATTCTTATTCTTTACATTCAGTGCAAAGCCATTTTAAGAAATTCAAAGAAGTAAGGTATTACACATTTTTTCAAAATAATTCTATTATTGGTTAACAATACAAAACTAAACACAGATTATAAAAATAAATATTTCCAGGTTAATTTTTCTGATTTAAATTCACGCTAAAGCTTAGAGTTCACACTATTGTTTCAAGAGTTATATAGGTATTATCTTTTGCAGAAATAATTTATTAAACAGGGCGAATTCCTGGACGTTTGCATTAGTCTGCTCATTCATAGCCCAGTGAGCTTTGTTTGAAATAAAAAAAAAAAAACTTATTTTTTAGTTTAATTCTGTTGAAAGAAAAAATGCCAGGACTGAATATACTACAGTACTTCATATTTCACAACCTGTTAAGGCAGTAGGGCAATTCAACACTTACAAATTTAGAGGATTGCAGACAGTGGCGTAGCGAGCTTAACTCGCGCCCGGGGCACAATACCCTTTTAGCGCCCCCCATTCGAAAACCATGTAATATTATATGTAAAATAAACTCGCAAATTAAAAAATAAATAAAGTCATAGACTCAAGCTAGGCTTTGAATTTGAGACAAAAAATGTAATTGAGAGAACAAGACTAGATTTTGAAATGTATATGATCATCTAGAATTAGTTCAAAAGATACCTATTATTTATTTTACATATTTATGAAGAAATATTTTAAAAACACGCAGTTTTAAAACAATAAAAAAGTAAATATTTATTATCTCTAAGGAGATACATACATTTAATAATCATATGATTATAATACATTAATAAAACTAATTACTATGTCTAAATTTTCCGTGCTTTTGATGAAGCAAATGTATCAATAATATCATCAAAATTGATCATTTAAAATTTTTCTCTTTCCACACTTAAAAATGCTAGGTCACTTAGG